AAAATCCGCTTTCACCGCTGCTCTCGACAGTGCTACCACTCCGCTCTCCCATAACAATTTCCCCACCCACTCTACACTTCCGACGCAAGTGGCCAAGGCCACTTGTCTAAGGGGGGGCATCTGTAGCAGCCGTGCCAGCTGTACCACTGGAGCGAGAGAAAAGAAGCCGAGACGCACGAGAACAGACCACGAGACACGAGCTTTGCGATTCGGCGACCGAGCGGACCGGCGGCTAGATCGGACTATGTTTTCTACTGTTACGGTTTTCTTGTAAATATTGTATATAAAATATGTTGAGTGCCACCTGACTGGTACCCACAACGTCATCGGGGAGGTCACGTGACTTCGGCGGGGGGTCACGTGACCCTGGGGGGTCACGTGACCTCGGGGGGGGGCGTGTCACGTGACTTCAGGGGGGGTCACGTGACCCTGGGACGGTCATGTGACCTCTGGGGGTCACACCTTGGGGGTCACGTGACCTTGCGGTGACCTTGGGGGTCGCGTGACCTTGGGGTGACCTTGGTTACGCCGACGGCGACGGCGACGGCGACGCCGCTCAAGCCGGGAACGGGCCCCTAAGAGCTGCGTTCTAAAAAGAAAATGGTCGGAACTTGTTTCTACGAGGTTTCCAGATATTTAAACTCAAAAAGTTTCTTCTTGCTGTCGTCTGCTCCTTCAAAAGACAGCTGCCCGTAGGCCAAACGTTGACCCGGTAATTGCGTAAGAAGTAAGTGCGGGCCTCAAAAGACTTTGAAACCTCAATGTTGGTTGAAGTAAGTAGGTTCGGTGAAAATAGTACATGCAATGAGATGTTGATAATTGTTACCAGTGGCCATCACAGACTTGTTATGCCTGATTCCCTTGATCCGATTCTGCTTGCGATTTTCAGTATCGACGTCGACCTTCTCAGCTACGGTTCACGCTTTTGCAACCCGAGCGACGCAATCAGGGAAAATACCAAGCGAAATCTGATTATGTGAATCAGGCTTTAGCGTCCATTCTGCAGCGTCCGCCCAGAATGAATCGTCGCATGTCACAATGACATGCGACATAATTTCAACATTCACTTTGCGTGAATATTTCCTATTCACGGAAAGTTTTGCGGTGTGGAGAGCCTCGTTAATTTCGCTGAGGCCGTTCAGTAGTTCGACACCGCCAGGAAGAGGTAGATTCAATCATTCCAACGTGAAAAAGGGCAGGGGGACTCACACCGATGCCGACAACATCGCATTCCAATGGTTTGTTTATACACGTTTGCAAGTCCGGCTTCAGGGCGCTGCCATCTTGCCGGTCTGGGGTGCGCTTGGACCAGTCATAATCCGATTACGAAGCCTTGCTAAGGCGTCGTAATCGGATTATGGCCGCTCCCGAGAGCGCACCCCACTGAGGAAGATGGCGGCGCCCTGAGACCGGAGCGGCTGGTTCCCGGTTTTCCCGCCAAGCGGGAAAACCGGGAACCAGCCGGTCCAGGCCGCTCCGCGCCCCTCCGCGTCTCTGGTGGCTTTCGCGGAGACGTGTTGTCGGCGCGGTGGCGAACGATGTAATTTGACGAAGGTCCGAATATTTCTTAAGTTTGCCTGAGTGATCATTAGTGTGGCGAAGCCTCAGTAGATTGTTTTCTTCTATTACGTGTTTGAAAGCCCGTTTACTCCACAGCACACGGTCGCGTGCTTTCGATTTCTTGGATGGGGAGGAATCACGGAAAAACTTTTTGATTTCTTGTCTGTCTCGAATCACATTCAAAGTGACGACTGCTTGGTAACTGATACTGGAGGAAACACCAATGCTGCAGTCAAATGAATGGGAAGGTTCGATAGCTGTTTTTCTTGAGTTTGGTTGCGTTCGGTTGGCTTCAAGTTTGAGCCACCCACGCCGGTCTGTGCGTTGGCTATTCATCTTGGCTGCTTTTCGCCGAAAAAGCCTCTGGACCACACTGAAGGAGTTGGGCTGATTTCGCAATTGCTTGATTCGTGAAAACCTGCTCGCTGCATACGATTAATGAGGGAAATTATCCGTTTTAAAAAGGTGGGGGACGAGTTTCGCGACGGTAGAAGCTGTCACGGCATTTTGATCTATCGCGCCTCCCAATATTTATATTATACCCCCGTCAAAGCCAGCAGCAATATCCGTTTACAATACTCAGGTTGACCGGCCACAAAAAATACTAATTTTCTCCGTTCAGGATTCGAAGCAAAGTTCAATGCAGAGAGGTTCTGCGTGAATTTCCGATGAAGACTCTCTTCAGTTTGTCTTCGTGCTGCCGGCTAGAACTATATGGCTGAGTTTAGGTAGTATCTCTCTGTCTGTCAACTATACTTTTATCCAGCAGTTCACCTTATAGCTAGTCAACTAAGCTCATATTTCAACCCAAAGAATATACTAATATCGCTTTAGTGGGACATAGTACGTAATATAATACATAATCCGCTCAAGAAGCGGTTGCTTAATTTTCGTAATTTTCCTGCAGCCTGTGTTGCTGGCCGAGTAGACTGGAGCTGTTTTGTAAACGCGGATACGCACAAAAGCTCGATTTCGCGGACAGATAAGTCGCATAGTCGAGGCATGCGAGTTAGCTGTAAAGTTACTCTCTGTGGAAAAATTCTATAGTAATCGCCGCTTTCCTTAGATGCTCAAAACTGATTAGTATATTACCGTCTCTCCAAAGCCCGTAGTTTCGGTTTGGAACGAAATCTCCGAAACGAAAGTTTGACACGAAAAGAACAAAAAAACACCGGCAAAACAAAACTATGCTTTGCAATATTATCTGCACCGGCTACACTTAACCGTCTCAGTTCAAATACCTATAAAATTGGGCATTAAACAAAAGAAAATCTGTTAAATTGAACGCGCCACCTGTTCAGGCGGCCCGGCCGAGCCGCCGCGACCTGGACTCGGCCGCCATGTTTGTTTGGTGGGGGCGCCCCCTATAGACCTTTTCTGCGAGTGCGCCGCCATCTTGAATTGACGTCACTTCCAGTATGGGCGAAAACCTTGTTTTGCCTTTGCCACGCCAATAGAAGGCATTTGGGATATAAGCGTAACCGTCACACTTTCTCGTTTTGCCTCCCCTTTATTTTTTTACTATTTGCAGGTTGAAACGTTGGATTATTTTTTCGTCGCCCATACCGGATACGCCTATTAGGTGGCTGGGAACGAGAGTACGCAGAAAAGGTCTATAGACATTTTCCACAGGGGCGCCGCCATCTTGAATTTTCGTCACTTCCAGTATGGGCGACGAAAAAATAATAAAACGTTTCAACCTGAAACTATCAAAATAATAGAGGGGAGCCAAAACGAGAATGTGTGACGGTTAGGCTTATATCCTAAATGTTTTCTATTGGCGTGGCGACGGCAAAACAATGTTTTCGCCCATACTGGAAGTGACGACAATTCAAGATGGCGGCGCCCTTGTGGAAAAGGTCTATAGGTCGCTGGAGTCGCGAATAGGCGAGGGCGAGCTTTTTGCCCACGCTCCATCGCGCATGCGCGGCGCCAATGGCGTCCGCGGGGGACGCTCCGGTTTGTAAAACGTTATTAATTAACATAATTTTATTTGCGGTCATTTTCTCTTCCCGCGCGATGATGGTGCCAACTTGATCGCTGACTAACCCTTTATTACCAAGGGGTCCCTCAGCAGTTTTTTTTTTTTTTTTTTAAACTTTGGAACCCCCGTCCTAATAAGTGTAATTAACTAACATCTTGTTTACGAATAAAAACACATTTTGACATGACTTTACATAGTTTAATTTACAAATATTTTTCATATTAAACTAAATGTGAGGCATTGTGCGGTGGATTCCTAATAATTAATTGCGATTCTCTGAAAGTTTTTTAATTGCCGGGTTTATTGCGTTTTAATCATATTTAGACTGTGTTAAAAGTTATATTCTATTTTGCTTTAATTTGTTTCAGTTCTCCATAGTGTGCAAGGAACTGTTGATAGTTTTGAGTTAAGAATTTCATTGTCGATGGTTGATATATATATATTTTTTTTTTCACTTAAGTTTACGGATTCTGTAATTCACTACGATAGAGCTAGGATAGGAATTTGATAGGATAGGAACATATCAAAGGAGATATTTACCTCAATTAAAACGTTACAAATAAAATCTAATCTGTCTCGCTTTCATGCCAAAGGAATATTTCACAAAAGAAAGTCACCACCTAGCCCTCTTTGTGTAATTGTATTTAAGGTTAAATAAATAACAACAAAACGCACACAGTTAAGTTTGATTCCAGGTTGGGCCTTTATCGATGCAAAACTAATTGTGACTAAGGCATTCACATCTAGGATCGTGCTGTCTTCTGCAACACAGCTGTTGTCCCATGCACTTCTTCATCTTTATATGTCGGCAGTGCAACTATTCAGGAGTAATGTTGCACTAATGGCGGGCAAGTATTATGTGGATTCAGTATTAACGCAAACATACGACAGCCACACATTTTCATATAAATATATTTCGGAAAATATTTTACATATATGTAAAATATTTACAAATATATGTGTAAAAATAAGATCCATATATTATTATAAATCACGGAAGAGGAACTGCGCTGGGTTCGTGAGTAATTTCCGCACATAGGCTGCAGTTTCCTTTCGCATTCCGGCAGTTATGTGTTTCACGCTACTCTCTTGTCTTTCTTTTTTGTAAAAGAAACTAAGTTGTTTCCGCTCAGTTAGTTTTTTTCTTACAGTGTCTTATTACAAAGTGTTTCACAGCAGAAGGCATAAACGATGAAACTAAAAGCCGCTAAAACAAAGGGCTAGCAGGCGAACACAGCGAGCAGGCGCTTTCGACGTGGAGTAGTTCAACAGCTGGAAACACTGGCAAAGTGCCCCCGTCCGAACTGTGGATCTTGGAAAAAGTTCACAAACTCGACTTCTCCACATCACCGTCCGTCCTCATAATTCTTACCGCTGGTTGTTGCAGCATGTTTTCGAGGCGTCCGTACTTGGTGTAAAGGTTCGGGAGTTTATTTTTTCGTAAAGAACATAACTTTTTGTTATCGCGACGATGTCCGACCGAGAGGTCCGTGCCCGAAAGAAGCGGAAAGGAGCGTTAGAGAAAGGTGCGTATTTATAAATAACTTCGCTATTTGCAGTCGGCCGAACCGTGTTGTGGAATGCGTACTTACAAAAACATTGTCCCCTATGTCTTAAATAATTTCGCTGAGCAGTAACATCACCGTACTTCGCAAAATCAAATTTCGGCGTACCGCACCGACAAGCCCGTTGCACGTATCATGGCGCTTTGGACGTTTTTGTGAGTAAACTCGATATTTCGACTTGCAAGCTACATTTTATGCTGTCTGTCGTGCATTTTCACTGGGATATTCATGTATTCACTAGCGGGGAATTTTCCAGTTCATACGCTCAACGAGTAATCGAGTTAAAATCTGCCATTTGGAGCGAGGCCCATTTCCGTGATACGTTTCCTGACGTCCAACAAAAGACTGAACCAAGTTCGTCCTACGTGTTTTAAATCTTCCATGTAACGTAGTTTAAGCTCATCACCCTAAATATAAAGTTGAGTCGAAGCGCACTAAAATGTATTTCCTCTTAACTCTATTCTGAGGAAGAAATTCTGTCGGACTTATTTCAGTATCTGTGCATCTAATATTTTCAAAGGCAGCTTTCCTAGAAAGGCTCTTATTATCCCCACGAAGAGTGCTTTAACTTAAATTTCTATTGCTTTGCTTTTATTGATTTTTTTTCCTCTTCACACAACAGGTGCAGCAGAGCTGCCCAGCACCCCTGGAAAATCCTCATCTCACAAACATTCTGACTCGGAACTTGAGGACGATTCCGCCTCGACCAGTGAGCCCAGTGCCACTGCTAAGGTCACCTTCTTAATCATCTTTGTAGCCCTTGCAATAACCGTGGGAGCTGTTGTCATCGCCCTCCGAAGTGCAGCACGTGAGATCTGTTTCTTATTCTAACATGCAGTGAGAAAAAACAAGAAAGTAACTGGCATTTCAAATCTACCCTTAAAAAGCAATAACATGTTATAGTATGTCATTGTTTTTTTTTTGTTTTTTTTTCTTAATTAATTTGACTTGTCACAAGGAACTTTTTTTGCACTCACCATCTTTTGTACAAATTTAAACTTAAAGTGCCGTTCACACCCTTGCGACCGAGTAAGACCGAGAGAGACCAGATTGGTTTTTAAGCCTTTTGCGACTTCTTAGGACCGGACGCGCTGCAGCGGAGCTGGTCCTAAGAGATTGCAAGAGGCTTAAAAACCGGTCTGGTCTCTCTCGGTCTTACTCGGTCGCAAGAGTGTGAACGGGCCTTAAGGGAAGCAGCAGGCTAAAAGGGCATTCAAATACTTCTAAAGCAGTATTTTCAAATAGAAACTTTTAATTTGTCAATAAAAACATCAATACCTTTTTCTGCTTATTTTAATTATTTCAATACCCTCAGGGCCCAGAAGCATTACGGAGGGGAGGGGTAAAAACGAAAACAAATTAAAACATATAGACAAGTCTAGTACAAAAAGTAAAAACATGAATGGTCAAGGATTAACAAAAATGATCAGTTATCGCAATTCTGAAGGACTCAACTGATGGTATAGACCAGGGGTGGCCAAGCTGCGGCTCTTCGCGTGTTAAAGTGCGGCTCGCGGCTACCTCCCCTACCTCCGCCTCCCTCTCGGTCACACGAGCACTTCGACGAAAAGAGAAATGTAAAGCGTTTTAAATCAATAGACAGGTTGCGGTTTGGTAGTCTTGTGCTACTGCTACCTTACGTACAGTTGGACTGCTTTTGACTCGAATGTATTGAAAATAGCTTGAGTTTCGTTTATTGCTCTGGACAAATATTTGCACACACCCCCCCCCCCCCCCCCCGCGGCTCTTGGAAGTTTCGTGGTTTTGTTTGCGGCTCTTAGGCCAGGTAAGCTTGGCCACCCCTGGTATAGACACTAAGAATCTGGGAGGGCAGTTCCATTCAGATGACGATAGTTGCACTATCATCCTTTTTATTCAGTTTCACTCCAGGTCAGATGTCCAATAGTCCACCCAAAAACTGAGTAAACAATATGTCACCATACCTCGTTGAAAAGTAGAGTTGTCTTTATAACTGCTGAGGTTTCTCATCTTCCCGTCGGGGTGTTTACATTTTGAAAGGTTGCTGGCTGCAGCCCAAAAACCGGTTCAGATATTTACACCAACTGCATTGCATTGCATTTCTCTAGGGCATATTGCGTGGCACTCAGTTGCTGTGATAAGGCATACCAGCAGCATCTCATTGTGAACGGTCGTTAACACAATTGGTCATTTTCAAAACACAAAAAACCAGCCTTTACTTATTCCGAGATACTGTTTTTTTTTTTAACTTTTCTAAAAACTGCTTTGTTATTCCATCCCTGGTCACATTGTTGCAGCAGCATTTTTAGTTTTGTACTACAACTAAAAATGAAAAACTGTCAGCTTCTATGATGAGCCAACAGCATTGCAACAACTCGCTGAGTTGAATCGAACAGCGATTCCTGTTTTCGTATGACCTCGGGTAGTTGCGTCAACTTTTAATGTGAAAACTCCTTTCCAAGTAAGTAGTCAAACGAATAACTGGTATCACTTTAGTGTGACATAAATGCTCACAACCACCACATTATAAATAAACTAATAAACAGAACTGACACTAGAAAGGCTATTATCAGCTCTTCAGCAGGCCACCAGTAGGTGGGTCAGCTGCTGTTAAAATGGTTTGTCAGTTTTGTGCACTCTTTTGCTTTTCTGCTCCTGTCCAAGTTCACAACTGTAACCGCTTTTTAGATGTGGTCATGCACAGCTGCTCGATTCCGTGCTAACGAAAAGTTAAGTGGCTGTTACTCGTGCGACACAGTTAGCTGATTCCAAGCCTGTAGTTTCAGTTTCACCGTTGATCCCCAAAACCAGAGTTTGAACCAATATATTTAAAGGGCAGCCCACTACTAGAAAAGAATACCTTGTAATTCAGAGACTCGAACTGCCCTCAATAGAGTTGCAACAGCAAAATCTAGTTAATGGAGCCAAGCAGTCCCTTCAAAATGACTGCCTGGACAAACCGTCTTTCTCTCTCCAGCATCTAGAGGACATCCGCAGCTAATTTATATTTTGTTTACGCATGCAAACATTTTACTATCATTCTATTTGCTGCGGTGAGCTACCACGCCTTGGCAGATGGGATTTTGTAAAATTTATACGCACACATACGCCAAGCCAGATATAATGGAATGTGTTACATTGCTGCAATATTTTGTGCAGCCTTGAGAGGATTTATGCAGTACATTTAACCATTTCCTTTTGCCATTTAGGGGGTATTTACTCGCATGGGTGTTTACCACTTGCACTCCTGCCATTTTGTCCATTTGCTCGCTGCAGGGAATATTGAAATTGCCATTATGGTTGGACATCTGCAACGGGTTTCAAGCTAACAATATAACATTGTTCAACTTCCAGCCACAATTGAAATTGCGGACGAAACGGTACTAGATGACATTCAAGAGAGCATCATTTTTCCACAAGATGAACATGAGCTTGAAAGTGAAAACTATGCAACAGAAAGGGTATGTCTGCCTGATCAATATAATTTTGTTTCTTGAGAAGTCCAAAGCATTTAAAAATAGCCATGCCCCCCTCCCCCCCCCCCCCCCCCCCCCCCAAAAAAAAAAAAAAGAAAAAAGTTTGGTAATTAAAGTTGAGCACATGAAGCTGTACCCCTTTTCTCCAATATTATTTGTTTTTAATATTAGGGCTCTAAAAATTGTGGAACTTTGCAGATATAATAAATACTTTTCAGATATATTCCATGTAGAAAATTAACCAAACTTTTTTATTTTGGTCTTGTGATTATCTTAATTAAGGTGTGTGCTGGTTTGAAAGTTTTCATTTTCATTTTGTTTCAGGATAAATCAAATGATTTGCAGCAAAGCATTGAAAATAGCAATGGAAATGGTGATAAGCGTAATTTCAACACAGGTATGTACCCTTTACCATAAAGTTTTGGAGAAACATTCAACCTCTTGAAGGACCCCCCCCCCCTTAATTTGTGGGCAATGTATCCTGATGAAAACATTGAGAGGTGCTGCCCACCCTCCAACTGCCCTGTTACAGGTTAGAAAAAATATTTGATGGGGCCCAAAGCTGGGTTGACAAGAAGCAAATGCCGAACCATTTCTTGAATGTGCTCTGATCAAAGCCTACATTATTATACTTTATTATAACATACCATAAAATACTGTGGGATTGCCCACCCCACATTCACTGAAAACTGGATTAATCTAGACATGGACTTGTCCAGTCAAATGGGTGCTTACCGTGTAATTTGCAGAATTCCCAAGTTTAGAACACGTTAAAGGTGGGCGCTTCTGCAGTATTTTACGGTAGTCATGAACAAGCTAGAAGAAGAAAACTGAAACAAATTTCCAAGATATCTTATTTACTGCTAATAAATTGTCAGCCTATTGAAATAAATGGAAAAATCCAAAATATAAAAATGGAAAAAAACAGTATTTGGTGTGCCCCCTGAAATAAGAATATGGATATGCACACACATGGGGTCGCAGCAGAACCGCGACATACCCGACGCTTCAATGGCCTCAACAAACATATGATCTGCTGGCACCAATAGCGGCCCAGGTTGCATACAAAGACGCCCCGATTGTTTTTAAGGACGTCTGTATTCTGTTTTCTGCATCAATTTATAAATTAAAACGAAACAATATTCTGCCATCTCTACGATCTATAATTTGCAGAATTGGTCCCCCATTGCACAAGCTCATTTCCAGCACCCATGTGTTGTTTGCCGAGTTTTTTCATAGCTTTTTACTCTTGCACACCGATAGATTGGCTGCCTTACATCTTTTCACTACTTGTCTCTTCACTTATGGTGGGCTTTCTCTAGTGTGCTGTAGTTGCATATTTTTGAGCATCTTTTCGCTTGTGTGGTGGAGTTGGCAATGCACATGGAGGAACTGGTTCAAACCCTGCTCGGCCCGGGTCTTCCTCATATTATTTTTGTGCTGTTCTGGAAAGTTCCAGCCTATTCTCAGTTTTATTGTGTGTTTTGTTTTAGAACATTCCTTACCACATGTAGAAGAGCAGCAGTGAGGTGCTCCCTTGAGATAGTCGCCCTTCCGTCACCGTCACAGGTTGCTTGATACCCTCTGTTTTAGTTTGTAAGCTCAAGTTTGCCTCATTAAACATTTATTTTCAGTTTGACATTTGTTTTCTATTTTTAGGCTGTGACAATATACAGATTTTATACATAAATGTCAGGCCGTAAGGGTTTGGTGACCGAATACCGTAGAATGCGGAGCAAGCGCCACCCAAATTTAAAGATAATCTTGAAAAACTGGTGGGATAGGCACCTGCTAAGGTCTGTTTACAGGATGCATTTTCTTAAAGCGCAACAGTTTTGCAAAATTGAGATTTCGTGCAGTCGGCCAATTCACATGTCGAGTTTGGGGTGCAAGAACGGTGACATTGACTCACAACAATTTTGCCAAACTTTTATTATCTGCACCTGGAATGTTGATCGCTTTGCAGCAATTAATGTGCAGTATGTACAGTGTGAAGAGACGGTCAGTCTAGGTAGTTAATATCGCTCAAACGACTTTGCCGGCAAATTTAGCTCACTCGGTTGATTATGCCTGCCAAACTGGGGAAAGATAGTGAATGTCAAAGAACAGACACAAAATCTCTAAGTACGGCATATACCTTCAAAAAAATGTAGCTTTTTTTTTTTTCATCGCAAAAATAGATTACACATCGCCCAACGCTCATTCTCCGTCCAAAGTCAGGGCTGGCAGTTCGAACCAGATTTCTAAAGTTTCAGCACAAGCCGTTACCTTATTCAGAAGTGTTTTCTGAAAATTTCGATGGGAAAATGGGGGTCATTTCCGCTTGTTTTTGGTAACCATAGAGCTCCATGTATTCGAAAGCTCCGTCGGCCGCCATTTTTCCATTGAAAATTTTAGAAAGTCACTTATAACTTTTGAAGGAAATAACGGTTACTGCTAAAACTTTGTTGTGTGGTTTGGACTGCTAGTGCTACCTTTGGCAGAGAATGAGCGTTGTATATTGCAAAGTTTATTTTTGCGGTGAAAAAATTCCTGTAAAAATATTTTGGGCGGGGGGGACCCCTTCTTTTAGGGATTTTTGAACCACTAAAAGATCAGTTATTACCAGTCATGTTTATGTGCAGTGTGCACACTCGTCGTGACTGTTGAGTAATCTTCACAGCGCCGCCAACCCGTACCACCTGTACCAAGCCCATACGCACCGCTTTTCCACTCACCGCTCAGTTTGTCTTTTTTTGCGGCTTTGGCTCGGATACAGGATCGGTCAAAATTCAAGCTCCTCCAAAAGCTCGCTGTGTCTTAAAGATCGGGCATTACAGCGATGTCAGGCAGCCTTGTGAACGTCCGGATGCCTGCTTTGGGTGTTTGATGAGCCTCGGTGAAGTTTCAGCAAACTCTCGCTCAAGAGCAAGGAGTGCATGTATCCGTTTCCAGATGCGCTCTTCTTTTTCCGTTTTGTTCAAATGGCGCACCCGTTTCCCGAAACCTAGTTTCGCGACACTAGACTCGCCGAAAAGATGCGCCATGTGAACTAACCTTTAAATCCAAAAACAAAAATGCAGAAGGGACAAATGATAGGCTGAACTTCACCACTTTGCACCAAAGTGCTAGGAGAAGTTGCTAACAAAAAGGAGCATCTCAGCTAACAGCTTAATGTGGGGTGGGCACCTGATGTGTCCTCTACTTAGTTTTCAAACCTCAAAAGTAGTGAGTGGACGCTCATTGTGGCATGGGCGCATGCTCGGTATTTTACAATATGTACTGCAGCTTGGCAGCGCATGGTATACAAAAAGCAAGCTAGACATGATTATCAAGTACCCTTAGCCCATCTGGTCACAGTGCTGACCACCATTTGACCGAGGTTATCAGTGGTGACCGGGTGAGTGTCTTCAGGACACCAGGGATCACTCGTCACCCACAATGTCACAAAAGTAGTGTTGTGTTGCTGTAAATAATCCGAACTAATGCTTGTATGCGATACTTTGTTCCAGACTCGACTCAAGAATTGCAGTCTTCCCAACACATAGTTCTAGAAACGACATCAGCAGATACACCCCACTACTTCGATACCACACAGCCAGGTGATGGTACCGAGGTGACTTCAGAGCACACTGAGGAGATTGCACAATCTACAGGGGAGCCTGAAGTTCCCAGTTCTACAGAAAGCGTCACACTTGCTCAGACAGCTCCGCTGAAGCAGGAGGAAACGGCCCAAGGGGCTTCACAGGATGCAACTTCAGCATCAGGCAAGTTGTGATTCTGAGCAGAATAAAAATTTATACTTGGTTTTCTGATGAGGCCGATTGGTACAAACGTGAAAGTTTTAAATTGGGTACTCTGGTGTGTAGCCAGAGGAGGTTGGGCTGGGGACTTACGGTGCTTCAGCCTCTCTCCCCTTGCCCCCAAATCTATATACCACATTTGCACGAATATAACGCAAGTTTTGTTTCAAAATTACGTGCTCCAAAACGCACCTCGCGTTATATTCGGAATCGAGTTCAGCCACGAGGCGCACGAGTCTGGAGAAAGCAAGAGGAGAAAGCCATCCCTCCGGCTCAATGCAAAATATCCGGTAGGAAGAGCAGTGGGGGTGTGGAAGGGAATTTATTAGCTATTGGGCCACGTGAAGGGGAGAATAGAAAACATAAAAAAGCATTTTTATCACTTTTGTGTTTGTACAACGCGTGCACGCCGCAGAAACTCGGCGCGCGCGCGCGTCTTGCGGGAATGCAGGCATTGGCCGATTCGAGCCAAGCCAAGCCGGGCCGAGTCAACACAAGCCAAGCCAAGACCACCAACTGTGTTTACGCAAGAGTAAAGCTATACGCACTCCGGAGTGCACTTTGGACGGAAATGGCTATACGCACTCCGCTTTTCTCGTGTAAAACGAGTGGTCACAACCAGCTTTCTAAGCGGTGGCATGGCATAGGGGTCAAGGAGTCTGCTTCATACGCAAGGGGACGCAAATTCGATCCGCGGTGGGCCTACCTTTTTTTTTTTTTTTTTTCTCTCAAACATTTTGTTTTGTCGAGGCACTTGGCGATATTTACGACATTTCTTTTTTTGCGATGAACAGTAAAAAAAAAATTTAATTAAAAGAATGTTGTCGAGAAACTTCGCGGAACTAAATGGTATGGGACTCCCTTTCCGGAGGTGCGATCGGGGACAGCGGGGCTTGAATTTCCGGCTGGACGCCGCGAAGCAGCGTGTACTGGTTACGTTTTGTAATTAGCAGCCGATACTGTCACCGCGAAGTGGATTGAACGCAGGCTGGGGGCTGTGTCAACGAGCTCCCCAGTGATACACGCACCGTTCGAAAAGCGTGGCTCGAGCGGCATGATCTCTCGGAGGAGTGCGTATAGCCATTTCCGTCCGAAGTGCACTCCGGAGTGCGTATAGCTTTACTCTTTATGCAATCGTGCAACACAAGGCATTTGTTTATGCAGAGGGACCAGAACAAGAAGTGTGATCGTGTATCGGATTCAGTAGTCTTTTTTTCTGCCTGCGCATTGTTTAGTTTCTGCTCCAGAGTGATCTGGTGTTTGTGTGTTGGTGCTTCTGCTTCGTGCCTTGTTTGGATTGCGGGCTGCCGAGGAGCTCGCAAGAAAAGAGAACTACCAGACAAGCAGGTGTCGTGCTGCTGCTTATCTGCGTAGTCGCCAAGTGGATTTTAAACGGAAGGACCTGAACAGTGAGGATGAGTGTAGTCAAAACATAAACTGACATTTCTTCTATTTCCATTGACTTTTCACATCTGCTATGCCCCCGAGTGCGAGAAATTGACGCGGCCTCGGTTCGCGTTATAATAGTAATAGTATTTTTTTTTCTTTTTGAGGGCATCAAAACCTGCCCTCGCGTTATATTCGTGGTCGCGTTATATTCGTGCAAATACGGTACGCATGGTGTCATCTTCATCCCTGGCAACCCTCCTCCCAAAAAAACAAATTTCTGGCTATGCCGCTTAATGTTATTGGAGTATGTAACTGCTGTATGTACTACAGTGCAACCAACTTATAACAATAATGAGAAAACCCAAAATTTTAATCGTTATAACCGATTATCGTTGTATCTGGTCTAGAAACTGGTTATTTCCAGTCTAAAAATTCTAGAAACTGATCGTTATAAGCGGTACATCGTTATATGTGGTATCGCTATAAGTGAATTGTACTGTACTTCCTTTCCCCTTATCCCGTACCGACTTGAATATGATAATTGAAATTTCCTCGAGAAAGTCTTGAAGGTCTCAGACCTCCCTTTATATCAACGGTTCTTTGTAATAATGGTGTTGCAATAAAGCGTATTTTTTAGTGACTGCCACAAATCAATCTTTAAGAGACCCTTAGCCCCTCAAGTAAGTACAGGGACAAGCAACCTATTCTGCTCAAATATTGCAATCTTCTGTCTTATTTTTTTTTAAATTTGTTTTGTGGATTTAATTTGTGCAGGGGCAAAGAAATGTGTCATGGTGCCTGACAACGCTGCTCTCCTCAACGTATTGTGTGCATTTCAAACTCTCAAGAGGAAAGCTTTAGAGAGCGAGTACTTATCAAGTCTGGCAATTCCCTATATTAGAGCATATTGGCAACTGTAGTTGCTGGGAACATGCTAACAGAGAAATTGAGCAGTGCCTCATTGCAGAACTAGGAATAAGAAAAAGAAAGCAAACAGATATGTTTTAAAACAGGAAGACTTGGTTTCTTGCAGAGGGCAGTCCACCTTTGTCTGATATGCCTACATCAACTCTCGAGACAATGCAAGTAAAACCCGACTTTCCTGAAGAAGAGTCTGCCATCACAAATGAATATGATGAGAAAATTCAGGATGATCTGAGGGACTCTGAAGAACTGCTTGAAAAGGTAAGTTTTCAGCAAATTCTTTCTAAATATTCTTTTTTTTTATCTATAGTGTTCTATGATTTGAGGCTGTATGAAAAGTTAAGGCTATAGACTGTATAATTAGGTTGTGTTCTTTCCTACTCGTATGAACTTCTTGACAAACATTTGTAGGGAATGTCTGTACTTCTAGTGCCGCATCCCTCACATGAGCGTTCTTGGCTTTTGTGGGCATCAAGCTGTAAAAAGAAAACATAATGAATCGTATTGCCTAGTTCTGAACTTTTCAGTGCTAATGGCAACAACTGCTCAATGGAGTGAAATACTTGATATAGTAGTTTCTTGATATCCTGTCATATTTTGTCTGTCATCTGATATCAGCTTGTTAGAGAGGTTTGTTAAATAAACAAACTGGAATTCTCTTTCTTCTTTTTTAGTTTGATGAAATATATATCTAAACTGTGGCAATATTCTGTTGCAGGAGTTTGAAGACATTTTCTGGGACCTCTAAATGAAAAAAAAATGTTTTTAGTCTTTAATTTAAAGGAAAGGGATTCTAGTTTTTTCAGGTACCGTTATTAGCTGTCTACGAAGGCTGAGTACAGATCATTGGGAAAACCTCAGGAGCGCAATATTTTCTTTCGTTACACTTTTATGAGAGGGAATGACTAACAGTTCTAATTCATGCTTGAACTGAGTACACATAGCATGAAACCGACTAATCTGACTACTCAGTGTAGGCATTGCAGCTGCAGTTCATTTGAAACATTAAACATTAAAAAAAAAAGAAAAAATAGAAGCGGCCAGGGCTATATAGTTTTTTTCCCACACCATGGTCACTGAAAAACAAAAAAATACACTTAACAAAGAAATATGCAGGTACTTTGGTGGAGCAAGGAAACACTGTTTCACGCTTCCCGTGTCACCTTGCATGTCGTCCTGCAGTGCCTTGCTGCCAGAAGAAAGCTATATCACACTGTTTAGCAATAAACACGCAAGTACATCTTTATTAGGATCAGCACCCCTCCAGTTAGCCTTACAAATTGGTAAATATAAGGAGTGATCAATAAGTTTTGCCTCCTAGGCTCTAACTTTCTGATTCAGTGATGGAATTCATTTACTTTAACTTGGTGCATTGGATACACAGCAAACATATGCATGTTTGTATTCATGCAGAATCATGGTTTTGCATTGAATTCAATTACTGTATTTTCCAGTCTAGAAGTTGGACCCACTTGTAAATGTCTATTCCTCTCGAAAAAGTTGGGATATAAGTTGTATCTTTGTGCAAGTCGCACATTTTTGTATGGTCGACGTAGCGAAACTGAACTGATTTTGCGTAAATGTGTTGTGATCGCAATACGTGTGCATGCAAGAACCAGTTTCAATATTCTCGTCAATGATTCGAACGAGAAATATAATCCTTACAACAAATTTGTTTCGATGTGCCGACTGTCGCTTCTACTGGAAGCCGTCATATTTTTGGACGTAGATTATGAGGGAAAGCTAATTTGCAGAGTCTGAGGGCTATGTCTGACAGATCTAGATCCGTTGCAGCCAAATTTGGTGACTGGAAGTTGATGCCAGATCTCTCGAAGAGATAGATAATTATGGAGCGCTGTGAAAGATGGCTCACTGATTCGCCGCAGCTGTTGGCTAATGCCGCCACACTTTGTACTGTCTTCAGAACTCCGGAAAAGCAGGCCGTCGCCGGGTTCTCTGCCGTTCCTCTTTTGACGTAATTGTCGATACGGCCTACTACATCCCACATCTTACCCATTTAAAAGCCAACGTGCAACGTCAGCTTTCTGCAGGGAAGATAATCCTCTTAGCGCTCCCCCTCCTAAGCTGCAAAAGGAGCCAAGTTGGGGCATGGTAAAAAGTGGAGAGGGTATAGGAAAGAAGCAGGCGGGCAAAATTGCGAAGTGTATGTCAACCTTTAAAGGCCGACTACCAGACTGGAGATTCTGCAAGGCAGAAGACCCTCCTCACCACGGGAGAGGAGGAAACAGGCAGTGGTGGGCAGGGTAGAAAGGGGAGAGGAGGAATCGGGAGAAAAGTGTAAAGTGCGAAGTGTACGTCGGCCTTTAAGGTTCATATTTCTAAAAGAAATACATAAAAGTTGCACCATTGTGTAAAACACACAGGCAGAAATTTTTCGAAAACATTTGTGCCTTGTACACTGGAAAGTATGATAGATTGCTTTTTGCACGTTAAACTTAGAAAGGTATCAAATTTGTTTTTTCACAGACTCGTTGAGTACACCTCGAGAACCTTTATTTAATTTATGACATCATGACTCGTGGCATAACCTTGAACTAATTGATGTGTGATGTTGCAGCTTACTGTTTGTGATGAAATGAGTGTGCTGTGGCCATTGGCGTTATGAATGCATTTCACAGTACATTAAACTTCACCCATTTGAGTGCTGTGCCGCATGCTTGCTCGGGCAATATTTTTTAATATATCGATTGGTGCGTGATTTGCCCTGTATTTTTGTTCAGGGTGTTTTGTTCTCATTTGTGTGTAGAGTTTTCTTTGCTACTAACAGCATTGTGATGGTTTCTTATCTAACAAATTTGTATGCGCATTGAAGTGGGTTGACCTCCTCGACTAACATTTTTCAGTTCCCGGAGCGAGCACTTCAGAGGTTTAAGGAAATCCTTCAGGCCCATCCTTTAAGTCCTAGAGCTAGTTACGGAAAGGCCCAAGCTCTCGAAAAACTGGCCGAGCTCAAAAAGAGCAATGCGATGCTAGAACAGGCTATTCAGGCCTATGCCGAAGTCATGAAGCTGCCCCAAGTGCCTGACGAACTGTACCTCAAAGCTGGGAACAGATCCGTGGATCGCATGAGGTTTAGGGGTAAGTTTGTACATTTCTACTAGTTCTCGTGACTTTCGGGAACGGTGGCAAAGCAGCGGTGGTGGTGGCCGCATGGTGGTGCTGCCAGTGAACAGAGCAGCTTCGTCTGCTGAATTGTGTGACCCTAAGAGTCTTGGCTGCTCTACCACTGAGACCAGATGCTCTTATAGTCAGTGACACATTGAGTGTTCAGGGAAAGCTCCTCTCACCTTTTTCCACTTGAGCAAAGTGAATGCTGGAAGGGAGGTCACCTCCTTTCCAGTGTTCGCTTTGCTCAAGTGGGAAGAGGTGGGAGGAGCTCCTACTGAACTCTTACTTACTACAGTTCCGAATCTGCGGGCACTCACTGTTTACCAAGGGAAGGGGCTATTGCCGTAAAATGCCAGGTGAGTGCCCACTCAACTTTACTGAAAACTGGGTTAATCCACACATGGGCGCTTGTCCGGTCAAATCGAGTGCTTAGCAGATATTTTGCGGAATTGCCAAGTTTGGGAAATGTTAATAATGGGCGCTTCCGCAATATTTTGTGGTAAAGTTTTTTTTATTCTTTGCTGTATTTGTTGTAATTTGTTTGTTCAGCACATGTGGAGAGTGGGAATGCGCAAGACTGAGAAGACAGCCTGTCTAGTGAGATTAAAAGAATAATTGCATCAAGAAAACACTACCAGAGGATTGCAAACATTTTGACGGCTATTTTTACCATTTCGTTCCGCGATCCCTGGCCATTGGGGTTTGCGGGCAAGTAGCACCTTTGATCTATTTATTTTTACAACCATTTCTCTCATTCTTCTTTCAGGAATGTTAACTCGTGCCTTGAAGTTGCAGAGCGAGATGAGCGCTAAGTTTCCGAAGAACGTGGGAATAAAAAACGAGATGGCCGTCTCATTTCTCATGATTGGTAGAGGTCAGCAGGCGGCAGAGTTGTTGGAACAGGTAACCATTCATTTTCTGTTTTGTTTGCAGAAGAATGATATCAGTCTGGCTGTCACTACTTTTTGAAGGTGATTTCATAATGTCAAATCATATTTTTAAAAAAATACATGTGCTGTGCAAGATTTTTGCGAACAAGCCTGTCCATTTACAATCGTGCAGAGAATGTTGAGTTCAATTTGGATTTTTCTTTGCAGAAGAACAGCTAATGGTGAGACTTCCATTAATTTAAATACCAAAATGCTTCATAAACTGGGAGGCTGAGTATAACACATCTTCAGAATTCCAGAGCAGATTGCATCTTTGAGCCTGTTATCAGTGCCTCGTCATTTATTGCCCTCTTTTCCTAAAAGACAATGATTGGCTTGCACATGCTCTGCAAGAAAATATATGCGCAGATTTTGTTCATAAGTAGCTCGTGCTGCAGTGCTTGAGACAAGCTATGGCACTCTGGTGTTCTGTTTTGTTTCACTCAACTCTGATTTGATTTCTACCATCAATGTGAACTTGCTCTACATTGAGAAAGATTTGTAGCCTATAGTTTGTAAAAGCTATTGGCTACAAACTATAGCACACAGTCATGTTAATTGACAAAATTCTTTAGAATTCTTCTTCAAGGCAGTGCTGTGTACGTAGCAGTTGATAGGCATGTCTCCAAACAAAGTGATTTAAAGATACACTAGAACCTCGATAGTATGTCAAACGGGCGACTGTGAAAGCCTGAATTTCTTTCAAGCCTAGCCCGTGTTCAAGCCCACCCATGCAAAAAGAACTAAAGGCGCAGCTTGGAGAGACAAAGAAGTGAAAAAGTTGTTGAAAGCTGCCGTGGCCTGACACGTCATATTGGCCGTATTGGGAGGCAGTGTTCTGGACGTAAGAACTGGGAAAGAGAACAAATCAGATAGGAAACGGATGCATACATCCGTATGGGAGTTCAACGAGGCTGGTGTTCGTGAACGTAACATCCGGGAAACTTGTAAACCGAGATTGTACTATTGTGTTTCTACTGTGGGAGCAGTTTCACATTTAACCTTGTTATAGAGTCGTATGCTGTCGTTCCAAAAGATGGAATATAGCTTGCTTGAGGTCTTGAGTGTGCTTGATGCTTGCAATAGCTGCATCTATATGGCGTTACCTCAGGTTGTTGTCTTTGTCGCACTGAGTTGCCTTTGAAGCGTGCACTGATCTTCAATTTTGTAGCAGTGCGATCCTTTCTCGACAGTCCGAGTCAGTCTGTACCAGCACATTGCTAGTAAATACAGGCATCTCGTTCCACATAGGTCTTGAAGCAGGACGGGAACAGTGGATTTGCAAAGGTGCATTATGGCTTCATTTTGAAAACGGAGAGGAACGATCTCCCAGGTGCCATCAAGTACATGAGCGAAGGGATTGCCACCCGCGAGCCGGGAGTTATTGACGGACGGTTCTACTTTCACCTGGGTGATGCCCTGGCCAGGACGGGACAGTCTAAAAAGGTGAGCGAAGCTTGCACGGGATTGGGTTTTCTTCCAGCGACAGTTGCGTCTCTTGTCTTTCTGTATTGCAGTTCCTCCAGTGGAGGGTGCACAAGGTTAGTTCTATGCTGTAAAACGAGCCGGAATAATCGATGCCTGGGCATAGAAAGCTCAAACTTTCACCGAATGGGCATTAAGGTGGTCAGCTTTACCTTATGAAATTTTAAGCTGTAGGTCCCTTCCTGTAAAAAATGAGACCAACAAACTTGCCAAAGTCAATGGCAGACGTTTTCGCAGGTAATCAAATTAGCGATGTATGTAACTTGTGGTGCCATCTCCTGACAGGTGCAGCTAGCAGACAACAACACTCTGTTGTCTACTTGCTGCACCTGGCAGGAGATGGCGACACAAATTACATTCATCGCTAATTTGGACGTCTGCAAACACGTCTGCTGTTGACTTCGGCAAGTTTGTTTGTCTAATTTTTTTTTTTAAAGGAAGAGAAATATGCCTTGAAATTGCACAAGGTAAAACTAACTACCTCAATACACATATGGTAAAAGTTTGAGCTTTCTATGAGCAGGTTCAGATTTTTTGCCCGGTTTACAATGCAAGATTCATTGTGTGCACCCTATAATTTAACATAGTTGTCCAATTCATGGGTGCTCAAACTAGATTCCCAGATTGCCTAGAGGGCACCATAAAATCCCCAGAGGAATTCTCTAGGCATTCCCTAGAACGGGGGTTTCAAATTCATTCGAGTCTGGGGACCAGATAGAACATCCTTCAAAGGTTGATGGCCCCAATGTAGCGGCAATGGCGTTTCACATTGCAAAAAGCAGCTGTGTCCCCCAGAGACACCCCAGAGATTTTCCAGAGGAGGGACCTCATACTCTCTGCTTTTTTTGAAACTTGCCATTTTGCCAGTGACATCTTTAGCTTTGATTTGTTTATACGACTTCTTTGGTAACAACAGGATATAAATGCCACCTCCCCACCAACTTATTGTCATAGTCGAAGAAAGCAGCACAGTGTTGCTACCCTATCGCTCAGTTCACTCGGAAATTAAACAAATCCTACATGTCTCAAGAAAAAAAAAAAATCTGGAAAGTATTACATCTTTTTTATTTTCCAGACAGTTATAAATAATGATAAAAATAATAATTCTTTATTCTTTGTTCCCACAAACAACTTTTCAGTATTCAGAGTGGTGCACAGCCAAAGAGCAGCCAAAGATTGCTGAAACACTACTCAACACAAATCATCTTGTCATATTTAGGCGACAGACATCCATTTCCAAACGAGCAAGGTAAAATCCCTAAGGCACATGAAAATATCCAGATGCTGTTTCTTATCGAAGGCCAACTGAATCCACGACAGAAGAGTTACTGGGGGCATGCAAGATGGATAAAACGATGAATTTCGACTCTACGGACAACTTCGGGAATGAATATATACGTAAAATCTCTACACTGCCTCCTCACAGCAAGTTTATGTAGCGTGAATCGCCTAAGTAATTTTTTATAATGATAAAAACACCCTCTTTCAATATAGCGGTCGTATACTATTCTTATCATTCATTTCTGTACGTTTTCAAGCGCAGTTGCCTGTATTATAGATAAAGAATTTCAGAAGACCGAGCCAAATTCTAGCCATGATCTAACTAGTGACTTATACAAATGCAACACACGAAAGGGCGATGAAAATTGGTGACAGAACCGAGAAATTACGCCTAACACTCGAAATGCAGCATTAACAGCTATGCACATGTGTTCGTTGAAAACCAGTGCACTATCAATATGAACACCATGATCCCTGATAACAGATACGCGGGGGATCGAGGTGCCTTCAAGGTTGTAGGAAAAACAAATTAACTCACGCTTTCTAGATAGCACACTATGTTTAAATTTCTCTGGATGAAGCGCCGAGCAGTTTTTAACACACCAATTTGAAACCTCTTTATCAGGCTGAAGGCAAGTGCAATCCAATAGTAGCATGATAAGAAAATATGTGTTTTTTCAATGGCATTTTCGGACGGCTTTATCTTTGGTAGTTTCTCCTGCTGAGGGAGAGTTTGTACAGCCAAAGTTCATACTTGAGCAAAGAGCTCATGCTTGTGGCTAGTGGGATTTTCATACAAGCAATTAACATGAGAAAGCTGAGAAACAAAAACTAAGATGAAACAATATTCAATCCAGTAGGAAACAGACGACCTAGTGGGAAATATGTGAACATGTGATAAGAGCAGAGCCACATTTCGAGCGGAAATGATTCGACGACCTGAGCTTGAGGCGTGGGATCTCGCAGCTGCGGGATGCCTGTGGGCCACGTCTCAGTGACTCACGGGCTGCGCGTTTGAGACGCCTCCCCTAGAGGTACCCTGGGGAATCCCTGGGGAACCCCCTGGGTAACCCCTGAGTTCCCCAAGCACCCAAGTTTTCTCGATTGTCCATATCACATGTAAAGAGTTTTCCCTGTCTAAGCAACATTTTGGTGAAAACATAGTGAGCATGCAGGCAAGCTGGTGAACATTAACTATGATGAATTATACCTGAGTCTGTGGTAAGAAAAGAGAAACATCAAACATTTGAAGAGACAGAAGAAAGTGTAAGGCGAATGTTTCAAACTCAGCTGCTGCGTTTTTTGGAGTCCCACTCCTTATGTGCCCATAGTGTATTCACATAAAACCACCAAACACAAAAAAACTAAGACAAACACAAAGAAGCGAAGTTCAAGCTCGCAACTGTTAGAGGCAAAAAAGCATCATTGACCTTTTCAACATTTTAGACATTTCCCCTCACCCTCAACCTCAAATTAAGCATCAAGGTTGGTCAATGAGAAATGTCCAAAATGTTCAAAGAATCTATTACGCTTTTTTTTTAGCAGTTGTGAACTTGAATTTAAGTTTTATTGTGTTTTGCAGTTGGATGTGGGTATGTTACTGGTGTATAAGGAGTGGGACTGAATAAACGCAGCAGCTGAGTACGAGACATTTGCCTTGTCCTTTTTTCTGTCTCTTCAACTGTTTGGTGTTTCCCTTTTCTTACCACAGTCTGAGCTATGCATCAATGCACAGCTATGAACCAAACACACCATAGTGTGTGTGTTATTGTAAATGAGGTTTGTAGGCCTCTGCACAGCTTAAATGTAACAATGCCAAGGAGGTCAGGGGTTCTTTGACTGTTATTCAAGGCAGGTAGCTGTTTCTCGCTATCAAAAATTGCAAACGATTGCACAAAGAGTGCTGCGATTAACAGCGGAAGCTGTTGCATTGCTGAAAGATTTGCCTTTAGTCGTTCTGCTTACACATATTTGCTTTAGGAGTTTGCTTTTAGTAGAATAGTTGGAGATGTGTGAAAGGTGCTTTTTCGTTTTTTCTTGTGCGTGAAAACTGGGGTCCGGCACGTTTTGCTGTTGCCACTGCAGCCCCCTGTCTATTCTGCTCAGTGTGGCACACTTGCTACTCCTCGAACGGAAAGTTGTAAGGAATGGCAAATGGCTATCTCTGGGAGGGGGAGGGAACTGAGCAAGCGCCTTGTAGACTCGCCGCTGAACCTTCCAGAAGCCCGAGGCTGCAGCGGCGAGGGGGAGTGGAGCTGGTCGAGAGAGAGAGAGCATTAGCGCCTTGCCATAGATGACGTGGTTGTGCGAGGGGCAACGGCAATGAGAAGAGTGTGATAGCACGGTGGTGCCATCACTCTCTCCCTACTATCACGGGAGCTTTTGCGTATGGACATGCCAGACTTTGCCCAAAAGAGACACTAACACCTACCTTTGTAAAAAGTTAGAGCACCCTTCATCTAATTCTTTCTTGAAATGTATGCCAATGATGGTGCAGTATGGCAGGTTTACCATTTTATGTTGCCATCGATTTATTGGGCCTCATAAGCCAGTTCCTTTCATTTCTGTGTTGTGTGTTTTTGTTTAAAGGGATGCTGAACCGAAATCTGGATTCCACCAAGCACGGCGGCAAAGCGTGTAATGGGATGCCACAAACACCAAAACATCACTCATACAGCAATATCTCGAACGGATGACCGTATTTTTAAAAAAATGGAGGGGCATTTGACAGATATGTGTATGTCTTGTTTCCCCGAGAAGGAGAGGGAACGGCCTCGCGCTTCACTGCCTCGCCGCCTTGAGGGGACGAAGCGAAGAGAGGAGGAAACGAGATATGTTGGCGGACGTCACGCAGCTCGTCGGCCTCATTCAATCTCGACCTTTCTTTCCAAAAATGTGGCCGTCCATTCGAGATATTGCCTTACGAGTAGTGTTGTAGAGATCGTAGTGTCCCGGCCTACATCTCCTGCATTGTGTTTCTTTAGATCCAAATTTCGGTCCACCATTCCTTTAATCAGTGGTGGACATACTCTTCAAAATTTCAGCATGCACAGTTACCCAGATCAACATTTAAAAATGATAAACTGTGAGCTTCATGATGTCCACTTTATTATGCTCCACTGGTGTGGTGAGACTAAGTTGCAAATATACATACATGGCTCTCAGCCATGTCTTCAATTTTTTTTTTGACATTTTTAAAGTTTAGAGTTTTTCTTTTTTAGGAAATTCTAAACACAAGTCGAGCATAACAGCGTTTGAGCTTATCGGATGTCTGAATCTCTGCTTTCCTTTTATGAACATGGAAGTTACTGTTTCCACTTCTGCTCTAGGCTCTAAGCATTTATAAAGAAGGTGTGAAAGAAGGACTCTTCTACTCCGTGTACCAACGTTCGCTGTACAACGTCGACGGCCTCAAGGCACAACCATGGTGGGACGCAAAGGAGACTTCCTATGCAGCGGCCATTAGGGTAAGGCTGAATCGGGTCTTTTAACGAGAACATTTTCGACAGAAGTCTGTCTGGTTGGGGAAAAATTAAATTTAAAAAGGAAGAACTGCAACCAAAACCCCAATATAGCAGGTTTTGAAACGTCGGGCTGAACCTTTTTGGGGTTTTGGGTGCAGTTCATCCTTTAAAAATTTAATTGGTTGTGTGTGTTGCAGATTTTTTTTTTATTTTTTTTTTATATTGACCTTTTTGACTGCATCATCATTGCAGGAATTAGAGAGGAACTGGGTTGACATAAAGAATGAGGCCCTCTCCCTCATGAACGACAAGGGCTTCCAGCCGGAATCGGAAAACCTGCGGGATTCGGGAGATTGGAAGCAGTTTGAAATTTACGCTAGAGGTAAACGTTTGCAATAATGGATTCCCCGCCTTTCGAGAGGAGCATCAATCGTTTCGACTTGCAACTTCAGCCTTGAAACGTTTCAGGTCGCAGAATTGAGAAGAACTGCAGGCTGGCTCCCAAAACTTGTGCCCTGATTGCTAGGATGCCCGATGCTGCAGGATGCAAGCGAGGACAGGTAAGCTCCACAACACTAGTTTTCAAAACTCGTTTGATCAACGTGTTCTGCAAGATACTGCGAGTGGCATTCCATTTTTGAGCTGAGTGCTTCATGTATACTTCTTTTCAACTCGACAGTCAAAGTTTAAGATGCTTGGCTTCTCACAGAACATTATGATTTTTTAGATAATGTGGTGAATTAACTAGGCATTGAGTATCAGTTTATTTGTTCATACACATTTCAAATGCAATTTTTATTTTTTTTATACCAAACTTTTATGAATTATACCTCGTGCAGCTCATCAACTACCGTATTTACTCGCATAATGAACACACTTTTTTTCCCGAAAAATTGACAGATATTTGGAAGCTGCATTCATTACGCGGGGTAAACTTTTTGCATTTACACACTTCGTGCAAATGGCATATTAGGTGCCAATATGACACGGCATGGTACTGTAGCATGTCTCCACTGATGGTGGAGCACCCACGGCTGGTTGGGGGGCGCACCACAGTAGCCATGCTTCATATATTGCAAATCTTTTTGGGGCGCTTTCGGCATGCCTTTTGCCTAAGGAAAAGTGCCCTACGAAGCTCACTTAGCACGAAGAGCAACGCGACCATTCTTAGGCTTAACCACTTTTACGATTTCATTGTCCGAAAGTGGACCACGGACGATGGTGTGTTTGTTGACATCAATGCATCCGATAGGCAAAGAATGTCCGGTGCTGGGCAATTCCTCGACCCAAGCTTTGTCAAGTATGCGTACCACTCGGTTTCATGGTTGATCACTTCCGCAACTACGCACTTGCGACCATTACAAGAGCGGCTCGGCTTGGCTTGACTTGGCCTGACTGCATGGCGGCAAAAGACAATTGGCTTGGTGGCTTGCTAAGTTGGACGCAATTCGAAACTCGCGGTGCTGAAAACTGGAAGTATGTTCATTACGCGGGGTAAAAGAAGAAAGTTCAAATGTTGGTACCCGTGTTGGGGAGTGCATTCATTATGTGAGTAAATACGGTATGCACCAAGTGTGATTTTTTCTTAAGTGACAATTGGTATAGCTTATTTAAACGTACTGCAGGTTCCAAGTTTTGTGCAACAGATGTCACATGTGGCACAAGACACTGGAAATCTCATTCCCTGTCGTAGGTTTGGTATATCAGTCAACAATCTTTCTTTTTCCTGGAAAGACAAAAGGCAGGTTTCGAGTTGGATTTCTCAGAGGGGACATACCGTTGTGTCTGCCTCCCTGTATTCACTTTGGAAAAGAACAGTGCCTAACCTCCAATGATTGCATCGCACGCTTTCTGACTAAGTAAGCACAAATAAAATTTGCATTTCCTCGAGTTATTAATGAAGTGTAACTGAACATGGCCCATGCTTTTACTTTTTTGCTGTGCACAGATGCAGCAGCTGATGACGTTTTTATATAAGAAACACAGCAAATAATGAGATAGAAAAAATTATTCTCTGCGAAAATTCTATCTGCGTAATAGCATTTTTGTGCAAGGATGTCTCCTTGGTCCTGCAAGCTTTTTTTCTTTTTCTTTCTGACGTATGACTCAGACGGGGCTGTTATCACTGAAACTTGGCTCAACGAGCACGTGTCAAGTGACGAAGTGTCTCCCGTCGGTTATAAAGGTTTCCGTAAGGATTGACTGTCGAGAGGTAGCGGTGTTGCAATTGCACTAAAAGACGGCATTTTACCACGCTCTCGTGTAAGCTGAACTAATAACGCTCTAATGATCTGGGCAAAGCTTTGTTTTTCATCACTGGCAATTGTAGTGGTTGCACTTTATCATCCACCTCAAGTGTTTCCCACTTATGGGCTCTACATGAATCTTTTTGCACACTTCCAAAGCGCTATACGTGCGGGTGATTTTAATTTATCGCACATTGATTGGGATCATATGCAGCCTCTGTGTTTGTGTCAGGAATTGCACTTGTTGATTGACATCGCCTTTTCATGTAACCTAACTCAAGTCGTTTGTGGCTTCACACGCATTATTAATGCAACTGAAAGCCTTCTTGATCTTGTCTTTGTTTTCTCCTAAGATTGCGCCACAAGGTACGAGCTAGGAAATTGTTGAAGGTGTTTCTGACCACTCTCTTGTTGTTTGCACTCTCTCACTTGCTTGTCAGCAACTGGATACCATTGACTTAAAGAGAGGTTCCATGACTTCAGTTATGCTAATGATGTTCATATCCTCGATATTTTGGAAGAGAGCTTTCCCGAATTTTGTGATATGTTTAAAGCCGCTGGCAGTACCACGCATGATTAATGGTCGTGGTTTAAAGTAGCGCTCAATGACTGCATCCAGAGGTTCATTCCGATGCAAGGGAAAAGAGTAAAAAGATATAATCCATGGATCACCCGTGACATCTTTCACCTGGGCATCAGTCCTCCTCAGGTTGCTTCAGGCATCGCAAGAGCACTCTCATCACTGCTGCACTCTTTGTTCCGAAGCAGACGTAGGGTGTTTTGCATCTTTGCAGTCGTCATCATTTTTTAACATGCTTCCTCAACGTATCTTTGTCTTTACCTTAGCCGCACACAAGGTCTACAATCGTAGCATCCGGGGTAGGAGCAACAACGGGAATGTCCACATCGACAAGCACGAACGAATCAAAGTTACTACTCTAGATGGCTTCACCAATGTGTTCACACACACTCCTGTAGCTCTTGGAAATGTGTTCACACACACTTCCCAGAGCATTGCAGCTCTGGAAATCATGCAATCGCTCGACATGCTTGCGTGCGCAAGAAAACCAGATGTGCGCAAAGCAATTTGCAATCTTTTATCTTCTAATCATGGGCACGCTTTTTCTTGCATGATAAACACTTCCCAAGCCCGTCCAGTATGTCTTGGTTGTTCTGTGGGATGGTCGACGGTGTCGAACAGTCGATGCTAGGATGTTGAATTTCTTGGCGATTTCGTGCTCAGGCCGGACACTTTTTTAACCTCGCAGATCGAAGTAACTTTTGACACACACTCCCACGACGCACATATACACCGCAGGCACACGCATCAGAGCCTCTCGCAGGGATGATATCCTCTCAGCTCCTTTGCTTCCTCGACCCAATTCCGACAAAAGTCAGGCCACGGGTGCCGTGGGTAGCGTAAGAATGCATACACTGCTCCCTGGCTGTGTCAAAGCATCATCGTTGGAAGCGGCGCTCTGCCCTTCATCATTCGTTTGCTCTGTTTACTGTTTTCCATTTGCCCAGTTTGCCGTTTGCCTCGGTGGGGGAGGGGGAAGGAATGCAAGGGCCCCCTGTGTGCCTCTGGGTGTGCTTTCGGCACCTTGGCTCTTGTATAAGCATGTGCCACCAATACCCATAGAATAATCCGGTTCAAAATGCGTGCATTTCGGTCGGGGAACTTTGAATAAAGCAATTTTGTTATGAAGGGACTACTGTAATTTAGGAATTTTACTTAACTAGCCAACTTGGCATGACTGTGGTTCCCTCTTCTAGTGTCTGCCGAGCCTATAAATACATAGAGAAGTCAGCACTTGTGTTACTCTCACCCTCTTTTTTTTATTGGTTTCTTTTAAAATTAAATAACCTAACCTAGCATTAGACCTCTATTATCAGGCCCGTAGTGGTTGGCTAGAAAACGAGATTAACTAACAATTTTAATGGATTTTGGTGACCTTTATCAATAGTCCTTAACTTTTTATGGCCAGGAGAATGGATGACATTGGCTTACAACAAAAAACTGTTATGGCCATTTCCCTCCCACTTGAAGTGATGCAGTTGTAGTCCGCACATTTTTGATATCGCCAAACGCATGAATCCCCGAAACCCGCCGCGGTGTTTTCAGGATTCGATTCTGGTTCCACCGATAGTGAAGTGAGTGCGTTACCACAGGGCTATGCCAGCTGCTTCGGCGCACCGCCTAATGAACCTCGTGTGACGAGGATAGCTGTGCAGCGTCCCCCAGACGGTCACAGTTGCGATGACGTCGCATCACGCCGCATCCGTTAGAGGGCTTTTGTACGTATAAAATAAATTGGCGCATCTCTCCGAGTACGGTAGACGTTGGCGATGGCTCCTCCACACAGGGGGCCAGCAACAGCAAAAGATGTATAAGAAAAGATTAGGGTTCGATAAGGTGTCGCAGCCATTGCTGTGACTACTGTGGGTTCACTCACACCTGGCTTATCATTTGTTTTTTTATGACTTTGTTTGCAGGTGAAGTTTTCACTGATGCACCCTGGCACCCACGTGTGGGCCCACACAGGTCCCACCAACTGCAGGCTCAGGGCTCACCTCGGCCTTGTGGTACCGCCTCGGGTGCGCATTCGAGTTGCCAATGAAACGAGGTGAGGGGTTCACATTACTAAATGTGGAGGCTGTTGGATGGCAATTGTTCCTTAGCCCCTCATACATTTCTACACGAGTCAATCGTCGTTTTAAAGGCGTTGCTGCATCAGTTTAGGTTGATTCCTTCATATCAAAAATATCATCTGAATGAAACCACCTTCTAGCATCTTTAGTAAACATGCCATTTAATCATTTATTTAATGAGGCATTGAGTAATTACCTATGCTAATATCACCCCGAACTGATAAGTTTCTAAGAAAATTGCACTCTTCATTTGTAGGTATTGAAATAAATAAAAAAATAGAGATTTATTTTTGCAGTGGACATATTTCTGTGTAGTTGGGTTAGGCTCCTCATTATATTTAATGTGGTATCTCTTAACATGGTACCTTAAAATTGTTTTATGACCAATCAGTGACATCGTAGATATGTGAAACAAAAAAATATTTGTTGCTGGTACAGTGATTAATTTTAATCTTTAAGGAGAAAACTTTTTTTTTTTTTTTAATATTTGCAATAACTGAATGAAATTTTCATAGTTTATAGTGCTTGATGTCCTCTTTGTAAATCTAGTTACTTTTAATATTGGCTTGTTTTTTATGCTCTAAATGCCATGCATGTGAAAAGAAAAATAGGTGCTTGTGTGCACGTGGGGTAGGGCAGCACACTTAGAAGAGCCTGTTAAAATAGGCTAGCTCGCTCCTTTTAAAGCACTGAGTGCAATAAACAATAAAAGTAATATGTACAAGAACTTTTTCTTTTAAAATAAACGAAAATCGCAACAGCACCATTTTCTAAGGGCAACAAAAGGTTTTTAAAGTTTGCAATAATATAAAAATTATACATTCTATTTAAACCATGATAGTTGTATTAGCCGCCTTGGTGGCTCTAAGGCGAGAGCGCCGGCCTACGGATCCCCATGTGATGGGTTCGAATTCCGGCCGAGTTGCCCGCAATCTGACGGAGGCTTATTGCAGTGAAGGCGCCGTGTAACCGAGCTTTCGGCTGCCCGTCAAAAGCTCCCCAGGTGATTGAAATTAATCCTTAGTCCTCCGCTGGGACGTGCCAGATGCCCGTCGTTGGTTTGGCACGTAAAACTCCCAATTTGATAGTTGCATTCTATGTATCCTCAAGCTTATGCATGCAAACTTTGGTTGTCATAGAACAATATTAAGAACATAAATTCTTGTGTGCAAACTGTGAAGATGCCTCAAACTGCAAAAATAAAAAAATGTGTTTGAATATTGCCATAGATATGTAAGCGGCACTCCTTCGCAGCAAAAAAATAATATATAGATATATTCTTTTTCTTTTTTTTTTGTGAGCAGTTTAAGCCACAAAAGATTAGGAGATGGCTAGGCCTACTTCTCAAAATAATTGTGATGGCAGGGGACATCACAATTTCAAGGACCGTGCACACTAACATGTCTCATATTTATACCTTTCTGGGTTTATGCCATAAAATTTGGTCTAATTGTGGCTTTTTTTTCTCTTCTTCATTCTAGGGAGTGGAAGGAGGGAAAAGTGCTGGTGTTTGATGACTCTTTTGAACACGAAGTGTGGCACGAGGGAGACCGGTTTCGGCTAGTGCTCATTGTGGACTTCTGGCATCCTGAGCTGACGGCAGCGCAGAAGGCCTCATTGTCTCCAATATAGGGTGTCGGGATGCACCCTTAATAGGCTTTTCAAAGTTCTTCAGCGCATTTTGAGAATTACTTAAGGGCAGTCTAGTGTGATTATTTTTAAATGAAATCTATTTGCATGTTGTGTAATCCCGAGAGATGGCCCACTGCCATCTCCTGTTTTTGTATGCTCATTAGAACGGGAATTGTGATGCACTGCTCAACGAACAGTCACATCGTTCAAGAGCCGCAATAACAGCATCCAAGGAAGGTTTCTATGTTACGTTTTCAATGTGCATACGATATACACAACTTGTTTACATGACAGACGATGCACCATGCACATCTTTCTGCTCCGGAGGTGTGTGTTGTGTGGTTCTTTTTTACTGCAATTGGCGGCAGCTTTCTGTGGAATTTTAGAAGTGAAGAGTGGGTATCCACTGCCTTTATTGGTGCTCAATTTGGACGAATGCATGTGCACCCACTGCTTTGACTGTATTGACACAGAAACTTGTCTCCAAGTATAACATTACATGATGAGCATCAACAAGTGCTGGGCGGTTTCTTTGTTATGGTGACAATCTTTATGTTGCTTTTTACAAGCACATATATGTGCATATGTTATTGGAATGGCCTCAATACAAACATTTCTATGACCATGTCAAATGAAAACTTAAACTTTTCAAAGGGAAGGAACAGAAAGGTGGACACACAACTTCTCAAACTTGGCTTCCATTACCTTTTTGTCAAACCCGGTGCTTGAATTTTCGCTGTGTGTGATGAGCGGGCGATGAAGCCACTCTGTTGATACATGTTTATAACCAGCACCTTTTAGGTAGGCCTTTTTTGTTAGTGACATTCATTTGAGAATAATATGCAATGAATTTTGAAAACATACCTAGGGCCTCGTGCTTTCTGAGACTTTCCATTTAGAGTTCAGCAAGTGGTAGTTCCAAAGTGGTAAGTTGGCACTGTGCAGGCCCACTATATGGAGCTGGTGTTTCACAACCACCTGGATTTTCCTAACAAGTTAGAGGGCATTCTATCTTCTTTTCAATAGTTCTCTCAGTTCATTTGAAGGGCACCTTCATCAATTTTGTAGATTGTGGGATCATGACTTTTTACCACGGTCAGTTTTTTTGGTACAGTGTTTAATTTTGTAGAAATCTGCTGTTACATTAGATTCTAAAGTCTTAGCCACAGTATAAACAATGAACTCCGGAAGTGCAGCAAACCCCAGAGAAAAGCTCCTCCACTTTTTGCCGGCTCTGGAGAGAAGCTCACCGTAGATGCAATTTTCATAAAACTATAGTGCAGAGGCCACGAACATCTCGAAAGCCTTGTTCAAAACAATGTGGTTGCTGTCCTTTTAAAGCTGTGGTGAAACCAAGGCTACAGGCACCTTCAGCACCTGTAGCTGTGGTGGCCTGCGGCAATGTTACCATAGTCAGTGACAGGTTAAGAATTGAGGGGAAACTCTTTCCACTTTAGCAGAGTGAATGCTGGAAAGGAGGCAACCCCCTCTCCAGCGTTTGCTCTGCTAAGGTAGAAAGGGGTGGGATGAGTTTCCCCTGAGCTCTTAGCCTATTACTGACTATAGATCAATGACAGTTGACAAGCTTCCAATAGTGCCTGGCGCCTTTTCGTGGCACGTCCGCTTGACGGCACTCGTTATGCTATCAGCCTAGCCGATATGAACAACCGACAGAGCTGTAGAAGGGTGGTGAGTTGGGCTAGATGGCATGAAGATATCTGGAACATAACAGCGCACAAAGGACGAGGACTAAGGAAAGAAACACGCAAGCGCCGACTCGCAACTGAAATATAATACACAAAGAAATAAGAAGCTGAAAGCATCAGAAAGGCTCGGACTACAAGAGCACGCCAGAGACGCAGCTTGAAAGGCACAGTATGCACTGCATAAATGCTAGGGTACACAAATATAATTTCAACCTACAAATTAGTTTTCTTGCACAAGGACCTATCCAAAAATTAGGTTTCCTCATCCGACAGCCCCACGAAAGTCTTGCTGATGCAGCGTTCTCCCAAAATATTGATACGTAATACATGCTTCAAGAATTCCGCGAGTGTCTTTTTCTCTATATCTTCTAATAATTGTTGCGCCCTGAAAAGATGGTGAACACGAATGAGATCTGCAGTGCAAAGGGAACTCGTGACCCCCCCACCGTTGATTTCAGGGATCTATCATGTTCGGTGAGACAGTTGGAGACCAAAGCTCCCACCTGTTGTTTAAAATTTTGGGAGAACGCTGCGTTGGCAAGCCTTCCACGGGGCTGTCGGATGAGAAAACCTTTTTCTTTTTTTTTTCGATAGGACCTTGTGTAATAGAATTAATTTGTAGTTTGAAATTATGTTTGTGTACCCTACCATTTATGCAGTGTGTACTCTGCCTTTCAAGCTGTGTCTGTGGTGTGCTCTTGTAGTTCGAGCTTTTCTATTGTTTTCATCTTCTTCCTTTGTGTATAATATTTCTGTTGCGAGTCAGCGCTTGTGCGTCTTGTGTGTTCCTTTACCTTGTCCTCGTCCCTTGTGTATTGTTATGTTCCACAAAACCGGTAGAACGTTGGATGCACATTGCCTGCTGTGGATAGTTATTCTATTGTGGTTTTTACGGTAAACATAAAGTTTGCACAAAAAGTGTAAAGGGTGTCATTCCAAAATGATCCTTCTCCGTTGCCCCTGGGAGCAGTTTCAACAGTGCCGCAAGTGGCAAAAGGATCACTATTTGCCCATGCCTGCTTGCATGCCGGAAAAGCACAGTTTTTGAACAATGCTCTTCCATAGAGCTTGTCAAATGACAGATCTAGGAATGTTGGCCTCTGGCACTTGGAGATGCAGTGCAATCCACTTATAACAAAAATAAGAAAACCCGGAAATTCAATCGTTATAACCGGTTATCATTGTATCTGGACTAGAAACTGATCATTTCCAGTCTAGAAGCTCTAGAAACTGATTGTGATAAGCAGTACATCGTTATATGTGGTATCGTTAATAAGTTGATTGCACTGTAGTAGGCGCTTTGTTGGAAACTCTGTGAAAGAAAAGACGCCGGTAGGAATAAGAGGGTAGAGGCCTCTTTGTACTAACTTGGGTGCGAAATATAAACCACAATGGGCACAGTAGGGATGTCTCTGTAGGTTGGAGCTGAACCTAAGTCACAGTAACTCAATGGAGCTAACAGGATCTAGCGTCCTTTCTGGAAGAAACGTTCGCACTCACTCATGCCACACCTATACAGCTTTATACCGAAAAACCGAGAAATCCGGAAAAGGGTGGATGCTGGCGTAGCCAGTGTGGGAAAGGGGAGGGGGCCTTCACATGAAGCAGCTCTACTTGTTAGATCCAAGTCACTGGATCCTGAGAAAGTAGCACCAAGCTCCCTGAATGGTTGTCATTTTGGTTCATGAAATAAGCAATTTCTCCTTGACCTCTCCATTATTGGTGAGCTAACCTAAACTCACCGCCGATAGGTAGCTTTATAAGATGTATACGTGCACCGGCGAAACAAGCGTACCTCTTCGTACTGCCACCACATGCAGTGTCGGTGCTTGGAGGAATTGAAAAATGATTTTTCTGTCTTGAAATATGCAACAAGAAGAATGTGAAGCACAAGTTTGTCTGCTTCTTTTTTCAGGGCTTTTAATGATGTCAAAACGCCGAGCTCTGGTTGACTCTGATTGAAGGATAGTATGTAGACCTCAAGGCAGCTTGCTTTGAGGTCTGCCCACTATCCTTCAGTCAGAGTTTGGTATTCTGACGTCACCATAACCCCTGCAAAAGAAGCAGACGAACTTGCGCTCTGCGTATCATTGCGAGAGATCCCTAGAAGTGGGCATGATTGATAAGTTAATTGCATACTCAGTGCCGAAGACGTTTATGTTGGCGAGGAACGTCTTCATATGATTATGCTTCGTGGTGCGACTGGTTTAGAACGACACCCTCGAAGATTTGAATGGATTGAACTGGTGATTGCCATGGTAATGGAGACCGATTAGCCAATCGCCTTGCGAGGTTTTAGTAGTTCATTTGCTTCTTGCACCCCAGTGCGCCTACATGATTGGCTCACTTTCTCCCCTACTCTTCTTTGACGCCTACACATGCACACACAGGGGTTGCGATTATGTCAGAACGCCGAGCTCTTATTGGCTGATTGAACAAAATAGTGGGTAGACCTCGAGGCATCTAGCATTGAGGTCTACCCACTATCCTTTCAATCAAAGCCAAACGGAGCTCGGCGTCGTTCTGACGTCGAGCAACCCCTGTGCAAAAGCAGACGACTTTGTCTCCCGGGTGAACGTAGCTTTGGCAAGCACGTAATCGCACGGGCGTGCCTGCTCGAGCAGAGGCATGGCGGCGGCCAGTCGCCCAGCTTGCAATCGTCTATATCCGCTGACTGTTCACTTTTCATTCTCTACCTGACGAGACAAATATTAAAAATATTGAATCATTGTCAACTTGCGGCAAAACAGGTTAGGTGGCGCTAAACACCGTCCAAATCGGATGTTCAGGAAGTGTGAGATGCTGTCTATCCATATAGTTTGTTATCCATTTATACATAAAACAATATGGTGGCGCCCAGTGAGGTGTGCGAGTAACGTGCGGGGTGAGGGCTCTTTCGAATTCGTGTTCTCGGCTATCGTGAAGGAGGATATTTACAGGTACAGTACATATGTCTCTGTCCATCCTTCGTTTTTAAGTGTTCTTTTATGACTGCTTTTAAAATATTCTCCTAAAACTGAAGGTGACCGTGTCGTAGCGACGGCACATGTCGATCCTTTGGATTTCCCCCGCCCCGTCCAAATCAACAACCGCGTTTAACGTTCGTGTTTAGACAGCGTAAGGTCGGCCTGCTCTTGAGGTATGGCGGCACTGGTTGACAATGTAGATGATACATTTAGCCAGTGCAGCACCACTGCTAGCCTGTGTTCTTTAACGTGCACCACGTAGTAATGATGCACGACCGCGCGCCGGTAAGGCTCTCATCCAGATCGAAACGGGCAGTGGTTGGGATTGATCCCAGGGTTCTGCAGCGCGAACTTTCGCTCCACGTGCTCCGAGCTGCGGTGCGCTAACGCACTGGGTTAGCGATTCCCCCCCTTAATTAAGCCCTGTCGTAGAGATGATGGGCAAGGTTGAACCTCACCGTACTCCAAAAAGGTTTTGGAGAAAAGTCTGTCCCAAACAAATATATATCAAAAGAAATTCCTGAAGCGTTTAAGAGCCCGATTTCTTGTATTCTGCATACAAATGCACCCTAGGGCCCCTAGGAACGGAGCTCACCAGCCGTTAAATTCGAACCACTCGTGCTTTCGGCCAAGTGTGTGAAAGTACTTAGGCACCTCGGCAGCTTTCCGCCATTTGTGACGACTACAAAAGACAATCCCCGCTGTATTATCGTTTGTTGAAAGATAATACTTGTAGCAGGGATGCGAAATTGCCTTTTAAGAGCTACGTTTCTATTTTGTGCCAAAATATATACCGTAATATTCCGAGAGATGGCGCACCTAAAATCAAGAACAAATTGTATGAAAATATGGAGTAGGCTAACTTTCGGTGTACAGTCAAAAAAAATTTGAAAAAAAAAAAAAGGAAAGAAACTGAGTAAAGATGACTACTTCCCAGTCAGTAACATTTGCTTATATCCCGCCATAGCTAATTAGCTGCATTTATACCGAGCTAGGAGTGGGCTATCTTTTGTTGTCGAATAAGATATAGCAAGTCAAGCCAAAAAAATGGGGTGGGCTGTCTTGGGGGTGGGGCATCTCTCGGGATTTTATGGTAATAATATGCGCCGAGAAACGGAGAGGACGAGACGAGAGCATGTGAGAACGTCATAACGTGGAACACCGGCGTTCTGCGTTTGGCTCTCGCATTCAGACACGTTTGACGAGTGCAGTGGATACATAGGCAGCTAGCTTTAGGTCTACCCACTAATCATTCGAATCAGAGCTCGGCGTTGGGGCGTCCCCACGGGCCCTCGGCACATAGTACCTGGCAAGGTAAGGACGGTAGAGAGGAGCTTCAGTTGACTCACCTCAAGTTCGAGCTCCTTACTTTCAATAATGCTTCAATATCTCCTCTACCTCGAGTGCGCACGCGCAGCTAGAGTATGGCAAAAGACGCGGAGGACATGCTGGAGGCTGAGTGCCGGAGACATGCCCTGCTGCTCTCATTTTATCAGTGACTATAATATTAATCGCTCTTATTGTCATGCAGTGTCGTGCGCTCATCTTTTCCGTACCGATCACAACACCGGTTAACTTTTTTTTATTTCTGGGATGCCAAGATCCCGTAGAATGAGTTATGACCAAAAACAGACGATCTGAGAAACCTCTTTAGTGCACCTTTATTGCTGGTGATAATGAGCATATCTTTATATCGGGGCATCTTGCCAGGAGCTCGGTGTTAGCCTTCGCTGGTTTGTGGCTTCTGTTTCCAAGGTACTTACACTTTGCTTTGTCTGCCAGCTTTTCTCTAGGATTGTCCAAATAATGGTTCCCATTAAATACCCTTGTGTCATTCATAGTCTTCATTGTAAAAGTGAAAGCCATAGCAAACTTTCATTTTAAGTATTGAAGCTAGGGACGATATTGCACTATTCGATTCAAAATATTATTAGAAGCTTTTGATAAGCCACTAGCGCCATGTAGCGGCTCCTAGCAGGAGCATTTAGGTAGCGGCTCCTAGCAGAAGCATTTAGCGCACTCATTGTCGTAGCACCCGACCATTGTTTTTAATTAATGTCAGCTTACCTGAGCATTGCACTGTACAAAACATTCGGGGCCACAGCTGATGCTAACCTTTTTTACGCTAGAGAAAAAAATTCAAAACACAGGCCTCTCCATGCACAGGCGAAAACATCCGCAATCGTCTTATTCCCAATAGGCGTACTCGATCCGTCAATGAGAGAAGCACAGTCTGATAAAAAGAGATGCGAAAAATACTTACCACATAGATTTTATCAATTAATGACACTGGTGAACATTTTCCCATAGTAATTTCTGGACCTTCAAACACAGAAGCATTCTGTAGAAGCATATTTACAGATAAAGAAAAAACATGCTGGTGTATTGCCATCATTGCTGTTTGCATATGTGGGGACACAATTGAATCCAAGCTACTTCTGATGGTCGAATCACGTGAGAACACAAACAAAGCAACACTGGGTGTGGTTGTTTTTTTTTAATGCCAAGGTATGAACCCTTTACTCCAGAGTGAGAGGCGGGTGCATTAGGTAGTGCAGGGAGCGGACAGCACATCATTATGCCCCGTAACACTGACACTGCCAAGGCGGAGCGATGCAAGCTTTTTAGGCGTCACATTATTTAAGTTTGCATACAATATCATTTGGCATGTCTTTCTAGCTTTTCGTACAGACTCGTGCTGAGCCGTTTGTTGGGTGCGGTAAGAAGTTCCTTGCTCCATGAACTTCACATGTAGTTCAAACTCCTTAGTTTGAAATGGTTAGGAATCATTCTGGATTAATTAAATGGGTTAACTTGTTTGGTTTAACGTTATCTAAGCCTATTTGGTCTTTCATGCCGTCAGTGAAGTACTGTGATTGCTTAGTTCTTTACAGCACACTCTGAGTAAGCTGAGTGTTAAGTATTCGTATCGGCAACAGTTTGCGTGTGCCATAGGGAATTCCGGGTAGGATTTGTTCACTACATTCTGACTGACCGAATGATTGTGTGTCATACTTTTTTTAAAATAAATGTGTGTTCTTTTTCTTTTATTTTAATAATTCATTTTGATGTCTTGAGGTTCACGTCAGGATTCATAACTCTGAGGCATGAAAATACCGTTATGGGAAACACCCCTTGGTAGCTTACAATGGAGAAAAAGCGAGGCGACGTTATTTGATTTGATTCCTCGATTTTACCTCACCTCTTGCAAAAACTCCAGAGTTAAGCTACGATTGAAGAAGGTCTGGCATACCTATTTTTTTCCAGCTATAAAAAGTGGTGTAACTGCATTCATTGCCCAAGAGTAAGAGGGTGTGATGACATTATGGAAACGGGGAAGCCCCTAAGAACTTGTGGTAAAACCTTGAGCACTATAATTTAGGCAAGAAATAGCCTTAGTAAGTAAAAAAGAAGAAATTGAGGGGAAGTTAACAAGAACTTGAGGCCGAGTTTTGGAGTGAATAAAACAAAGAACAGAAAAGATCCAGTAATCAGCTGAGAGCACCTCTTACACTTTTTTGTTTTGCGAGGCAACTAGCATTTTTCAATTTAAACCTTTTCAGGTAAGATATGAAAGATGTTCTATCCAAGCTGTTCTAAATGGCGGCATAGCAGCCCCCCAATACTATAGTTACTAAACAGAGTACAAACATACAGAGCCCAGATTCCCAAAACGTTCTTACGACAAAAAAGATAATATATTTATCTTGTGACAAAGTTACAAACTTTTGAGTATTCCCGAAGCAAAATGTTCGTAACTTTTGCGTAAGTTACTATGAAATCCGTAACTTACGCAAAACTTACGAACATTTTGCTTCGAGAATACTCAAAAGTTTGTAATTTTGTCGTAAGTTTAGAAACTTTTTTGTCATAAGAAAGTTTAGGGAATCTGGCCTCTAGTTTTTAACTGTATGCTAGGATTGTGAAGGAGCTGCAAGATCCTACTGGGGAGGGCTGCTGTATTTTAAAAAAGGTCTGAGGACACTTGAATTTGAATCATTGTGGGAAATGCAGACATTTGTGTCATGAGCAGTCACCAAAGTTTATTCATTCACATAGTCAAGAAAAAAATGAATGGTATGAAAAAATCATCCACACCTGTACACATGCACACAAAAGATGACCATTTAAATTAGGTGAGCAGTGGGCTTGTTTGTCAACAGATGCTGTGCCCCACAAACTGCTGTCTAAGACTGACTAGAGAAAAGAAACAAAAGTGCTGCCATTAAGGGTTAGATTAGATGAGGTGGAGTTATTAGTAGAATTAGTTTAATCAGTAATCATTGCAGAATGTACGCGATTGATTCAGGTGCTGAATTTGTTCTAAGGACACCCGCACCAAGTTGGATGAAACGGATTATAAAAGCTAAATTCGGTATAACACAGGTGTAAAGATTAATATACACATTGGAATAACGTTAGCATAAATGTTAGATTGGCATTTGCTCGCAAATGTTTGTTGAGCATAAAAGCGAGCGTGAAAACTACTTTTCAGGTTGCTAACTTTCTATGAAGTACAAACTTTGTGAGGAAAATGCGAGAAGCCGGGAAGCCACTACTGGCTTCAATGTCATGTCGTATGGCTATGAATGACAAGTCGTAGCGGTTGAACCAGCCTTCAGAGTTGAATGAGGCTAAATTTACTTAAAGGCCGACGTGCAACATTGATTTTCTGCAAGGCAGAAAATTCTCTCGGTTGCCTCCTCTTCCAAACTGCAATGGTAACGGTGGAGGGAGATGATGCGGGAGAGGAGAGGCAAACAAACGTGTAAACTGTGACGTGTGCATTGACCTTTAATGACCTTTAATGGTATGCAAGGTGCATCGTGAGCATGTTTAAACAGAGAAGGTGAAGTAGTGCACCGAGCAATTCTAGGTATAGCCTAGGAATGCACATTGCCCAAGTACCGCACTCCGAATGGGCTTGATACAAGTTGAACCGGAGGCGCCGGAAGTGTCATCATTTGAAGAGTTGCCATAGTCGAGAAGCACCGTATGAAACCACACGCACGCAGACACACATTCATGCACACATGACGACACGTTCCGCCGTAAAATGGTGGCCTCGCAAAACGTATCTCAAAAAGTATCACAGTGCAAGTTTGGCTAAGGGCGAGACCCCCTGCGACGGGAATTAAACTACAAAAAGATGGGAGTAAGAAGGGCTAGGCAGTCGATAAGTTGGGGCAGTCTTCTTCGTCTCGACCGTCGTAGCAGTCCCGTGTGCCGTCGCATAGTTGAGATTTGGCCATGCATCGCCCCAGGCGACAGCGCACACCGTTGCAGCTCCCGAGTGGTTTGGGCACTCCTTCTGTCTCTGGATAAGAAATGAAGAGGGTAGAACACAATCATGAAAGAATGAACGACGTTTGCAATTCCCTGTCATGCCGAATTAGAGCACAGCTCTTGAAAAGGAGGAAGGGAGGGTACGAAGAGGCAAATATGCCCCTCCTCCTCTCCTTCTCCTCCCCCTCCCTCCATCCCCCCTTGTTACGTTACTTGTGAAGGTCGTGACCTTCGTTTCACTGTGAAACCTTCACGAGTGACCTTCGTGACCCTCGTGATGTCACGTCTGACGTCATAATGGGAAACGTCCCATAATGCAATGCGTGGTTACGGCGATGCCGCTCAAGCCGGAAACGGGCGCCTGAGAGCTGCACTCTAAAACTGTGAGACTATACTTCGTATCACTGTAACTTGGCAAAGATTGAATGTGACGGCCCCCTCAAGCCAATCAAAGCAACGGAGGTGAGGCGCGTGACGGCCCCTTCCAAAGGTACAGGGGCGAGAGCCTTAACCCAGGCAGTTGGAGAAGAGGGGGAGGAGAAACTCCCTTCTTACCCTCTTTTGTGTGTCCCAGAATTTGCCTTTGCCCCCTGGAAGGCTAGCCCTCGACTCAAGACTCTTACGAAAGCGGCTTTCCTCTATTTCACACCTACGGCTCCGACAGCACTGCGCACAACCCGTGAGATAGGGCACAATCACGAGTCTCTTTCTCTGACGTGTCAATTGGCTCACTGGGATTGTAGCCTTCGCTGTTCGCTAAAATAAGGAACAGCACAAACACGCACTCGCATACACAGCTGAAAATTTCTTTGTCAAGAAACCTCCTAAATATAGTCTGAACACAAGGTGAAGACACAAGAAACAGAAAAAGAACACAAAACAGAGGGTATACTCCAACACCCGCTTTGCACCTGTCGTGTTTGCATCAACTTGACCCAACCAAAAAGATAAGAATAACCTTCTTTCCGTTCCCTCCACCAACCCACACACACACATACAAAAAAGAAATCATAGACTATAAACCTGTACAAACATTCTCAATTTCGGGTACAGTCTAAAAGAAAGCCCATTCACTGCATTTCTATGTTTTTCGTAATTATGTTCAATTTACACCAGCTCGTTTTCGCACTTACTTTTTGTTCGAAGAGGATAGCACTGCATTACATGTATTGCTTGTCTTGTATGGAGTGGAGTCCGTAAAATGTGTGCCATATTTGCTGGTCTAAAAGTCTCATTGTTGTGTGACTTTCTATAAATGGCAGTATACTATACTTTTCTGTAAGTCCCACTTGTTGGTAAGGATGGCTGGCGGTGTTGCTGCAGCCACGGAACTACACTGCTACACTGATCGCCAGAAGAGCACGCCATCGGCGAAGGCTTTATCGTTCCTCTTGTCATAAATATTGATATGGCCTACTACACCTTGCACAGTAAAGATCCAGACGTATTTAGGCTGCACCATTGAATAAGATGCACCGATAGAAATTGGGGAAAATAACTGCAACTGACACGCCACGACTAACAAATAACAGCAACTAACATAATCTATCAAAGCAAATGAGGCATTGGAAATGCCCCCTGCTGTAAAGCGGTTTATACAGGAAAGTGCACACAGTGCTTAAAATATTGACTGATATGAGAGTACATAATGAAGGTCGCATCCTAGGCACATTGGCAGCCATTCTACCAGTGCATTAATGCTGCTTATTTCTGCAGGCGACTAACAGTTTACACCACAATGCTAAAAGAGCCTTTTACACAGGATGGGAGAAGCACACTTACCCATCGTGTGGTGGATCCAAGGAAGGTAGCGCATAACCTTGGTGTAAACGCCAGGCCTGCCTGGCCTTCCGCAGCCGTCGCCGTTGCTCGTGACACCCACCAGGGACCACCGGCCGTCTGCTTTCTGGCACATGAGGGGGCCCCCTGAGTCTCCCTGGGGCACGCAGAAATGGGAAGCACTCTTAGTAGGGTTCATTGAGCCATACACTATTCAACTCTGGGCCATAAACCGATTGCAGCTTTTGATGGACTGATTCTACGAGGAATACCCAAAACTTGTTGAACCACCATTGTTTTCCATCATCGACGAACCATATACGATGGGTGTGTTGAGCTGTTTCCATTTTTCTTTTGTTCTCGTGGGAGTATTTAGGTTTTTCATGCTCGTTACCGAATGAAACACCTCTGCTCACGAATGCAGATGCGGAACGACTCTCTGTGTAATAAAGTAGAACCAGTTGCAGCGGCGTGCCAAGTACAGTGATGTCTCGTTAATGTGAACCCCGTTACTATGGAAACCTTGCTATATAGGCACCATCTTTTGGGGACAAACTGGGTAAATATGTGCAGTCTTGTCTCGTTATTATGGAGAAGTCACTTGATGGCCCATTTCGGGGGGAACAAAGGTGTCCATTCTAACGAGACGTGACCGTGTTGCATTCTTTTGTAGCCTCTACCCAGCATCACTAACATATGTCACCCTCCCCTTCCCAGGTCTTGCAGCATGCCGCCAGGCATCCGCATCCAGCTGATGCTGAAGGGTTGCGCCAACCGGCCCGTCTACCACATTGTGGCGGCGTACCGGAGTCGGCGTCCCCACGAGGAGGCTCTGGAGCAGATCGGCTCGTTCGACCCCATGCCCAATGAGCGCAACGAGAAGCTGGTGGCCATCAACTTCGACCGGCTCAAGTACTGGTTCGGCCAGGGAGCCAGGCCAAGCAGGGGCATGGGCTGCCTCCTGGGCCTTGCGGGCTACACTCGCGTGCACCCCCTAACGTACATGAGGGCGTGGCGAGCGCGGCAGGCTAAGCTCAACGAGCAGAAGAAGGAAGAGGCGGCGGAGGGGAAGGAGGCTGCTGGCAGCTGAGGGCGGCATATCTGCATGTCTTGTAAATGTTAAAGGTTTCTGATGTACGCATAGATATAGCTTGGTTCGTGTATAAAGGATTCTTTCGCCAAGGAACTGATGACTGATTCATTGTTTCAGTTTGCCTGTTAGCAGCATGGCCTTGGTGATGGTGCATACCTACATCCATAAATGAACAACCTGTGAGATTAAACATGTTAGAATCTACTAGAACAAAAGTGGTATACATGTAGCTTGGGGAATGTATCGGGCAGAGTAGGAGTTGATCGTTAATGTGAAACATTAGGTTCAACCTTAATGACATACATAGGATTTGCAGCACATTCATGTCATCAGTTCATTTAATTAAACATGACCTGAAAGATTGGAAGAAAAACATCCTGATACCTCTGTTTGTCTATAATGGGTAAGTTGCTACTGTTAAAACGATTGTCTTGTAGGCTCATCGAGCAAAACAATTAGGGCTGTGTGAGGCTCCTCAACAAGAAACTAAGGACAGGTTTGTTTCCTGGGATATTGGTGTGCAGTACTGTTGCAATGAGCCTTTACCAAATTGTTGCCATCTTAGCTGGTTAGAAGTTGTAGACCCAGCATAACATTTCAATGCCATTAAGGCAGAAAAGTTCTACTAATGTTTCTAAAATATTGGATGGAATTATGCAGAAAATAATGTGCATATTACTTGTATAGAATCTGCTTTTTTCCCCTAAGCAATTCTTGAGTTGTGCTAATTTTGAAGTCTCAAATTTTGATTTCAAGATTTGGTTTCTTCAGTGAAGTTTGGTTTATTGCTGCTGTATCTGGCAGGTTTGGCACCAGAATATACTACGCTGTTCTTGTCATCAAAAGTGTTTTGAACTTTTAGCAGTGAGAGTTTGGACTATCTTTTTGCAGTGGCTTGTGATGTATGTAGATCTAGAGCAGGAGACTCCCAACGTTTTTGACTAAAGGACCGGATTGGAGACCTGCCACAGTTTGGAGGGCCGGAAAGTACATAACCATAGATATGATGAAAATACTAAAGAAACAAGCCTGAAAAGCATTTAGATACAAAGATTTAAACCAGAGCATTAATTTTAAAAAAAATGTAAGGTGGATGAATATGTGTAGTTCCTTTTTAAATGCAACATGTTACTAATTATAATATTACAAGATAATTGTGACCCACAGAACTTGCCAGGGATAAATCAAAGTGCATATGAGCTTTCACATATTCACACAGGGCAGAAGACATGGGAATGGTAGATGTGATGGCAATAATATGCAAGAATTATTACACAAGACACTAAGCACGATATACTTGAGAATGCAAAGGAATTTTATTATAGTTACACAGACATCAAGCAGGGAACTACGAGTAGAAAGGATAGTGATGACAATGTGCAATAAATAATATTGCAAGAAAACTCGCATTTTGATGCAGTTTTTCTTTTTTTCTCATTCTTTCTAATATTTTAGTGTGCGTCGTGGCGCCATTTGTTTTAGGCGCTTGTCTTCGCGTTTGGCCGTGCGCCACTGGAAAGACCACAGCCATCCGCGGGCCGGGCTTTGGAGATGCCGTGATGTAGCGAATAACTCTGTTGCCGCCTGGTAAGTTCTCAGGCTTATTTGAGAGACATTACTGAGAGTTTCCAACTGCCCAATCGGGGTCCCATTATTTATGGGCCACATTTGCAATATGAGCTGCGAGGAGGTGACGAAAGCGTTGATCGTCTGCAAACGTCTCTGCCTTTCCTCCTGCTCTCCTCATCACGCGAAAGCTCTGCACATGCGCACGTGCAACCGATTGCCACAGGAGGTGTCTGCCATTAAATAGCAAACGTTCCCCATGGTTTGAGATGGAACCCCTCTTTAATCTAGGCTCTCTGGAGAAGACGGGGGCATGTTGGCACCATCTATGAGACTGCCCTGGAACTGCACAGCACTAGAGCAAAGATTCTGCAGTATTTTGGGAAATAGTTGTTTACAACATTGTCAAACCTCTGGGTTCTTTCGAAAGAGATCACAAGAGGTTGTAAGGCACTCGGTTGTAAGCAGTCGCAAGTGTCAATCAGCCTTGAGTGTTATCACTCGGGAATTGTGTCTGTAACCCCAAGCTCTTTGTCATTAAGTGGAGTTGCCCTTTGTTCTGTGTAAAGGCATGCCATGGGAGGTCATACTTCATTCTTTTCACAGCAGTGAATTGTGGTATGCATTATATGCCTATTAATATATTGCATTTTAGATAATCCGAAAAAGAAGGTTATTTTGCTGATGAAGAGGTGTTGCTTTTAAACTATGTTAGTTGAATGGACCTTTGCTTTCTCTTGCCAGCTTACCAGGCAGGCATCTCTTCCACCCCTTTCATATCCAGCACAGAACATGTTTTCTGTGATGTTGTAAAGCGGGAGAAACAAGGTCCTCCTTCGGCACTCTTCAGTTGTGAGCACAGGCAGCGGAACTTCTTGAAGCGTGTCAGCTGCAAGGCACGAGAAAAGAAAGTACTGAAAATACCGTGACACAATTGTACCATCGTTGCATTATAGAACCAACAGCCATGCTATTCAACTTTGACTGTCTGTAGCTTGTTATGAGCCATTTTATAGTTATAACTGTTTATACATGTGGTGTGGTTTTGACAGTGGATTTAATGAGTGAAAGGAACCTGGCACTTGGAGCAAAATGTTGCCGTAGAAACAGTTTTGTGTTTGATTTAATGTGGCAAATACTGAATGGACCTCTCCGATGAGTATACATTGTCATTGTATGGAGTCACTTCACAAAGTTTCACCCTCATACTGCCTGAACCCCAAAACAGGTATTACGTAGGGCTTCTGAAGATTAAAAGTACTGACAATTTGAAAAAGGGCTTTTGTTCTATGAGTCTGTGGAGGTTGAACAGAATGTAGCATGCAACTTTTTATGGGAGTCCTTTCCTTGGCCACTATTTTGAACCTATTTGACAGTTATAACATCTTGCATGATCAGGTGAGTAAAAAGATTTAAATAGTTCTAAGTTGCTTCTTGAAAACACTAATATAAAACACTTGTGTACAGTGTTTTGAGCAGGTATCTTCTGGAAACTCATGGTAATTCTAAGAAGCAGTTTATTGCAAAAAGTTAAACAACCCTTCAGTTGCAACAGTACTAAAAAAAAAGAAAACAAGCGAGCTGGTGGTGATTCATGTTAATAAAAACCCGAGACTCAGGAACACAGAAGGGATTGTGTTGTGTTCGTCCCCTTCTGTGTTCCTGAGCCTCGGGTTTTTATTACCAGGAACACTTCAGTTATTGCAACTATTTGATCTCAAAGAATTTACTTCCTATGATAGGCTTCATGAACTCACGGGGTGAAACAAACCCACTGTATCATACTCAACCAAATTGAAAAACAGCGCGAATAACACACGGACAAGGAGAAGAGAACACACAGGACTATTTCGCGCTGTTTTTCAATATGGATTCATACCAACTAGCCCAACTTTCCATTCTAGTATACTCAACCAAGTACAATACAATTTTCACATTAAGTGTGGATCATAGGGATTAACAATTGATGCTCCTTCATCACGCGCTCTTTTTGTGTCACACTGCGGACAGGAAATGCGAAGGGACTTACGGAAAAGCCGTCCAACTTCAAGAAGCTTGCCCCAGCCGACAGCGACACAAAATGACGTATGGCGGGGTCTGACGGTCTCACCATCAGTCGGAAGGCAGATGGGCCGGATGTAATCGCTGAAATATGTCAGAACGTTAATTAGCACCCGACACTCCGCGGTTACACTTAATTCAAAATTTCCCTGCAGCGCGTAAGTGCAGTGCGGAAAATCGCGGCTACAGGGCTACACAATTCGGGAAAGTGGAAAGCTGCAGGCTGGCAACAGCTGTATGTGCTCGCCTGTACAGGGAATTACGACTTTTTAAAACAATACCCCTGGAAATGACATAGACTTTTCCGTGTGACAGGATTATTGATTCTTTCTTCATCAGGTGAATTTAATATTCACATGGGATTTTACTTGCGCAGTTCCAACGTCGCTCTTACGGCAAAAAGAAAAACAACAAAAAAAATTGTGGTCGAAGTTGAGGTGTCTGACGTCGTAACTTCGAAATCGCAAACCAAATCGCGCCGTGTGTATCGGGAGTCAACGCGATGAGCAAACGCGTGCGGTTTCCCCGCACTGCTGCTTTCCCGCAGGCCACATATGCTTGTGGGGAAACTCTTTCCAGTGTGCCTGGTTGAAGTGTACACCTGTTCGTTGTAAGGCGAAAGAAACGGGGTGAAAGAAATTGTTGACGAACTTTGACAATTAAATACTGGTGATCTACTTGGATTACATCAATATTTTTTGTGTCTATGGAGAGCCCAAAACACGCTGCTAGGACGAGAAGCCTCTCCCACAAGCCTTTTACAGCCCTTGGTTGGTAGTTGCCTTTTCGCCACTCGCATACTTCCCAGCGTTAACTGCGCTAAGCTGGAAAGAGTGGAGGGCTTTGCCACGGCCACTCGATCCCCCCTGTGTGGCCGTGGCTTTGCGATAGAAGCTTATCCTGCAGTATCGTTTTTAATGACCTTTCCTCAAGCCATATGAGTATGCTTGGTTGTTGTTGTTGTTTTGCTTTTTTTTTGTTTTTTTTCCTTCCAGTTTTGGTGACTGTTTGCAATATACCAGCTGCGACCACGATTCTCCCAAGTGGAGGGGGTTATGTGGCGGGCTCATATAAATTTTGCAATGCCTCGCGCCAAAAACGTGATTTTCAGTTTATCGTAAGATCCCGACAATTAATTTTCAATAATAAATGTAAAAAAAAAATGAAAGCCGTTTACAACTCCCTGTAACACCGAATTAGAGCGCAGCTCTTGAGGAGGAGGAGGAAAGGGTACTGAGGGTCACGTGTTCTGGGGGGGGTCACGTGACCCCTCGAGGTCACTTGACCTTGGTGGGGTCACGTGACCTGGGGGTGTCACGTGACCTCGGGGGCGGTCACGTGACCCCCCAGAGAAATTTTCCCGCTAGATTTAGCGGGTAAGTTTTTCCGCTAGATTTAGCGGGAAAAATTTTCGGCTAGATTTAGCGGGGAAGTTTTTCCGCTAGATTTAGCGGGGAAAATTTTCCGCTAGATTTAGCGGGGAAATGTTCCCGCTAGATTTAGCGGGGAATTTTTCCGCTAGATTTAGCGGGGAAATGTTTCCTCTAGATTTAGCGGGGAAATTTTTCCGCTAGATTTAGCGGGGAAATTTTTCCGCTAAATTTAGCGGGGAAATTTACCCATAATGCACCGCGCGGTTACGCCGACGGCGACGCCGCTCAAGCCGGAAACGGGCGCCTAAGAGCTGCGCTCTAAAACAAAACAAAAAGTTATGTTTGGCAGAGTATTGCGATACGAGTGAAACATTGTAAATGTATTTCACTACCCATATACAAATACATTTTAAAATTTTATCTCGGTACAGAGATATGGATACTCAAAAGTATCTCTGAGATACTATAGCGATACATTTGTATCACGATACTGTTCAGCACTAAAGTAACCCCTTTTCCGCCAACAAAAAAAAAAAAAAAAAAAATCGGCGGCGAAAAATAAAAGAAAAATGAAGGCGATATTTTTGCTGTTATTTAGTTACCGTAAATAGGGGAGGCAGCATCTTTAAAATGGCAGCGCTCTTAGCTGCTAAAGGAGCTGTGCAACGATTTTAACGTTGAAAGAATTGGCATCTTCTACTTTTGACATTGTTCACCCTGTCGCAAAGGGCAGAAAACACACCTCCTTCCTTCGAAATGTTGCGATTCCGCCGCGTAATGGCGAGGCAAAAATTAGAATATTCTCCGACCAGCAGCCGTAAGCGGCGGTCATGAGAACCACGCGGCATGACGTCAATGGGGGTCTTGTCGAAAGATAGCCAGTTGTGCGAATACCTGCTCGATAAAAGGTAACTTTTTTGTAAATCATGTCGTTCCAACATAAATATAAATGCGTCAAAAACCTGGTATCATCGACGAAACTTTTATTATACGCAGTTTTAGTGGCGCCATCTATCCTAGGTCCACAAAACCGTCAGCTCTATCTGCTACCGCGAACAGCCGCCAGAAGCCAAAGGGGGAGGGGGACAGGGCCGGACGGGTATGGCCGGACACGGATGAGACTTTCCTCCTTTCACCATACTGTTCGCGCTGCGCCCGCCGGCACGTGGTCACGGGGTCGCGAGCGGATGAGTTCCCGCTGCTCCCCGATGGCTCTAGAGAGAGCTTCAGCGGAACCCCGCGCCACCCCCATTGACGTCACAACGCACGTGACTCGGAAGATGGTGAAGGAGTTGAGAGGTGCCGAAAACCTCAATCTTTGTCCATTTTTAAAATAAAAACAAGGACATGCAGGCAAAAGCGGCTTTTTGTTCTTTACTTCAGAAAGGTCGGGACACCAACTCCCAAATTATTTAAGCAAAGCGCTGAAACTGTTGCACAGCTCTTTTAATGAGCATGCCATCAGATTATTGTACTCGAAAGGCGTGAAGCCTGGATAATGCAGGGATCAGCGGGACAAGAGTAGACGAGTGGGTTGACGCGTTTAAAAATGGGCGAACATCAATGCGTGATCAGCAACGGTCGGGCCGCGTTGGGACGGCCGAAGCGCTGCTGATTACACATTGATGTTCGCCCCCTTATTTCTGATGTTTGCTTCGAACCTTTCATGCAGATGAGGCGAGCGCGTGCAGCGTGGGTACCTACGCTTCCAGGATCCTCCTCGGTGCTTTGGTAATTGGGCGAAGGGTTATTTGTCGTAGCGTTCCCATCCTTTTGAGTTTCGTTTCTCTTGGGACCGCAGACTCACCTGAACTCGACGGGTTTCTCGAGCTTGAGCAGGGCGATGTCGTTGGCGAAGCCCTTGTCGACGTACTGCGGGTGGATGACGGCGTGACTGACCCTGGCCACCACCTCGAACGGCGACGGCATCTCGGAGCCCCGACGGAGCATCCCGAGTCGCGCCGTCCAGTGAGACGTCAGCGTGCTGGCGGACGCCGTTGAAGAAAAAACGGCCATTAGAACTTTTTTTTTTTTTTTTCCTGCCAACACGTTGAACGATTTCTCTCAAGAATTAGAGCCGCGAACCGATTACAGATAGCTGTCTTTCACATTTCTGGAAATACGGGCCCAAAGTTTCTTATTAAAGCTACGCATTGAATGAGATAATAAATTAAGTACTCCATCCGTCGTAATTCGTGGCTCCATGCAGAAGTCGATGTCGACTTCTGAATTCCACCGGTATCAGCTGTGTACGCTTGATTAACACGGACGGCAGCTTCCCTAATCGCCCCATCAAACATATCACAGACAGAAAGGCTGTTAGACTCAATTCCGTGTTTATTTATTTTTATTTTTTTTTTTGCATTTACGTTGTTTTTTTTTTTTTTTGTATTACCATTCTTTCATCGTATTTACTACGCATCTCTTTTCTTCTAGATATTTCACCTCGTCTGAATCACTTGTACAAGATTGCCCGTTTCCCCTGACGCACTGCCTCATTTTTCACTCTTTTTCTTTTTTTTCGGAACAGAGTTGATGCTACAAGCGCGAGCATGTGGCCCTGACCAGTGCTTGCACTGCACGAGCGCACGTGCTTGGCAGGGACGCTTAAAGCCTGGAGCTCGCGCTCGTGCTTTTGTTAGGTGCCACTAAGATATAACATAATTGCTTACTATTGTTTTTGTTTTTTGCCTTGCTGCTTTTTTTTTTTTGTTTACAATTTTTTTTTTCAAATGCTCAGTCTAATTTATTTTTCTCTTATGTAATGACATTTCTGGAACTAACTTTTAAGGTATATAAATAAATTAATGAATCATTAAATATACTGTAGCACTTGGTTTCGATACGTTAAAACTACATGCTTAAAATTGTATCCGTCGACACGGATTTGTAATTGAACGTTGTGACGTTTATTATCCTGGAAGTAGTAGTAATATGGTCTCGCTAACAACCGTTACTGCTTTCGCTGAGTTCCTTTACGTCCGTCTTTTCTTTATATTTTCTTTATATTTTTATTGCCCACGGTTTATTGCTGATTGCAAGATATTATTCCCTCTTTGGCCCTTCTCTAAGGAACCCTTACTGCGTTCGTGAATATTATCAGCCACCGCAGTTGCTGCATTTCCGCTGCTTGTTCAGCGTTGGCAGTGTATGTCAGATCACAGCGTAACAAATGCCTCAATTACGGCCGGTTTACTACGGTTTGTATTTAAGAGAAAATGAATGAAATGAGTTTATTAAAAATATGCAAGGATATCGACCTGCGTTGATGGGCAAGAAAATGGGACCTGGAAGAGATCAAATAGACGAGAAAGAAAATAGTTATAGATAAAGAAAAAAAACTGCCTGTCCCTTTGGCACATCCCAAAAGCGCATAGCCGTTGTAGATCCTCCTTGACGTCACGTAGCATTGGGATGTAACGTGGTGCGATGACAGGTCACGCACGTGACATCATGACTTCATTTTGACATCTTGGTGTGACGTGCAGACCGTCACGCTGATGACGTCACACTGAACATCTTAAAACGCTGATGACGTCACGTGAATACCACGACGTCATCGGCGTGACATCACTATTGAGGGCACGTCGTATGGACACAAAAGCGCTAAGAGACATGGCCCTATATATGCTATGCATTAAAAAAGAGAGAGAGAGAGAGAGTGGTTAACAAAGGGCTCACTTGTAGAAGCAGTGCCCCGCCGTGATGAGCCACTGCGACCCGACCAGGGCAGCCCCGCACTGGAACTCGCCTTCTTTGTAAAGGGCCACCTGCCAGGGCCAGGACCCGGGAGCGGAGCTGTGGCCGCCCACGATGCGCTTGCGCACGAACGTGCCCAGAGGACGGATTCCGCACTCTGGGCGATAAAGGACACGCCGCTAGTATTACACGTCTTGGTGCTATCGTATCAAGTCTGATAAAAATGGATTTAAAAAGCGCGTATATTTTTTTTATTGATGAACGATATATGCCAGTGTCCGAAATGTTAGCCCCCAGCGATGAAAATGGGAAATAATAAACTCAAACTCAGGATATTTTGAAGAGATGGGCTGCGCATAAAACAGGATTTTTTGCTTTTTACGGAACTCTTGGCATGGGTGTTGTACTTGAACCATCAAGGCTATGCATTTCTGACGTTCTCGCACTGCGATAAATGCTAAGATTTACAAAGAAAAAACAAATCGGGGTCTTGCGAAAAGCGCAGCCCCTCTACTGTGTCATGGCGTCAGCATAAACAAACATGGCATCGCCTATGGAAGAGAGAAGACACTGGTCTACAATGTCGTATGGTTATATGGATGACTATCGGGCCGAACGTGCACAAAATGAAGTTCAGAAAGCACTTCGTGCCTAGATCGGTAAAATGAAATTAAATTGCATTTTATTTCTTCGAAGGATCACCTGCTTAAAGATGTGACCTTCTGGGGCAGGTCGATCAATAAGAAAACAAAAGGAAAGAAAAACGGGTCACGTCAAAATAATAACAAAACACAGCATAAAAAAAAATTGAATCCCTTTTCCATCAAACAATGTTAAGAAAAAACACGGAGAAAGTAAGTCGTAACTCAGAATCAGTCATTTCTGTCGCAGCAAACAGATCGAAAAGTTGTCTGACAGCAATCTCACATGGAGATGCACTCCACAAAGAGAATGTGTGCTCTGTGTCTGAGCTGTAGCCCCTGAGTAGTAAACAAGGCGCACAACGGCCGGCTGTCAGTCGTCGCGGCTGGAGGCCAAAACGGGCATCTTCGAACGGCAGATGCCACCGAGCGACTGGACGTGGGCACTTGGCTAATGTTCCCTGGGGCACCCGGACGCCCAATGTCGAGATCTGATTTAATGAATGGAAACATGGTATGTCTCAGAGTTGCGACAGCCTTTCACTAGATAGCGAAAGCTATCCAACCAGACTTTCTAACACTGCCACTAGCTCAGTAATGTTTACTCACAGGAACAAGTCTCCTGTGAGTAGGCATTCCAGTACTGCCACTAGCTCAGTAGACTTTCTAATACTGCCACTAGCTCAGTAGGCTTTCTAATACTGTCACTAGCTCAGTAGGCTTTCTAATACTGCCACTGGCTCAGTAATTCCTACTCAGAGGAGACAGCCAAGTCTACTGTGAGTAGGCATTCTAATACTGCCACTAGCTCAGTAGACTTTCTAATACTGCCACTAGCTCAGTAATTCCTACTCACAGGAGACATCCGAGCCTCCTGTGAGCAGGCATTCTAATACTGCCACTAGCTCGAGTAGACTTCCTAATACTGCCACCAGCTCAGTAATGCCTACTCACAGGAGACAGTCTGTCTCGACTGGTCAGTGTGTACCAAGCGAAAAACAAAAACGTCCATCGAAATAAAAATAAAAGCTCTTCGGGCCCATCCTTTTTATATTTTCTAAACGTTTCCGTAATCATGAATTGTCCCCGGTTTCTTGTCATTCTTGATAGAAAGCTCGGGCTAGGAGCTCACACACTACAGCGTCAAAACTGCGTCGGTTTTTTGTGGGTTTCGAACATCCGCTCTTCAACTGCATATTACATATTCGGTGAACAGCTTACCTAGCGTGGAGCACGTGATGTGAAGGACCTCCTTCCTAGGGCAGTTGGTTTCCTTGTACATGAGAGCAATGCTGGAATAAAAGTTCAATTACATTATTGGTTTCTATAGGTTACCGATCGTAAATGGTTCCGCCTGAAATTTACCTCGATTTGTCTTCGTTGTCTTGCCTCATCTCAAAGTATACTGTGCCTTCCTTACGAGCCTTGTCTTTGGTCCTTCGGATGGCGAGGACTTTTCTGTCGAAATTGCAAATAAAAATAATGATGTATACCTTGTAACAAACGTACGGTGCATTATGACCTAAACTGAGAATGTTCCAATGGGCTCTAGTTAACCTTTTTTTTTATTTAGATATATATTTTACAGCCACATTCTCGGGACGTCTCTATCACTGTTGATATCTTTCGAAGTATCACATCGCCCTATGTGTAGTTTGTTCGCACGGAGTTATCGTTCGTTTTGTCTTGCCCACACGTTCACTGCAATTTTATGCGGGTATATGTATACTTTTTTTTAATCTTTTACGGCTGTGATCCTTGTGGATTTTTCGTGTTCAGGAAACGGAATCGCCGTCGTTTTATTCCGAGACTCCGCTTGAGCAAACAGATTGAGCGCAATCGCTCAAGAGATTCACTGTTTCCGAAAATGTGCAGTATGATAACGCTCCATAGATGGCTCAAGGCAAGGGAGGGGCCTGAATGCTTCCACGTTAACATCAAATGAAAACTTTAAATTGATTCACTTTAAAGCTGCCAAGCGAGAGCAAAGAAAAATTAACAGGCACAATGTCCACCTGCTTTTCAGGGGTGGTCTGCACTGGCAATTTCGTCGTGTGATATGTCTCTTAAGACCGAAGATTGGGCTAGTTGGCTAGCTATAATCTATAAGGGTATGTCTGGTTGACCGGCCGGCCGCACTTAAGAAACAAAAGAAATAACCCGACGAGGGCGTGAATACCTGTAAGAGAGCGTGTTGCAGGCCGCGTGTCCGATTTCTCCCAGCGACCAGGTCTCGTTGCTGAGGTAGCGTGGGAACTGGTCGATGCAGAGCTTGCCCCAGATTCCGTTCCTCTTGAGTTGCAGGTAGCCTTGCCCGGAAGACATGGACGTGGACTCTTCCCGTTCGTCCACGAGACCGACTGGGAATTACAAGAACAATTAGTTTATTACGCCGTGTTCTCTGCCGCAGACAATTATTACGTTTATGTTATTTTATTTCTTATTTTTTTATAACGAAGGGAAAGGTAAAGTCAATTGCAGCTGATTACCGCATTGAACTTCGTCCAGGCCGTAAGGACAGTCGTGGTTCCCATTGCAGACTTTCTCCTGTGAGACACACTGCTTCGCCCCAGGACATACGAACATCCCAGGATCACACCAAGCTGATTTAGTTTTTTAGGAAGAGTAGGAGAAGGGGGGGAAATAAAACGAGGGTGACGGTCAGTAAACGTACAGGCGAGATGGTTGTAGAGTGTCGCTGTGGTTCGTCGTTTATCACGCAAGAAAAATTAGGTCAGTACTGCGGCAAGTTTTGCGACACTAAGTAAGTCGTGGCAGTTGGTAAAGTTGGCTAAGGCTGTTATCAGCGTTAACTTACGACAATATATTTCGTCGGTGAAATCCCAGCAGTCGAGGATGCCGTCGCAGATTTTGTGGTGGAGTTTCTCGTGTTTTAAGTAGTCCTTGCATGCTGAAACCAAGGTTGGAGACATGACTTTTCCGCGCTGACTACATATCAGAACTGCAGGTTTTTTTGGGGGAAATCACAAGGGCTTAAAGATGTGACATTTCTTGCACTTTCTTTTGTTAACTCCGTTCTTAACAGCAACACTTACAGCAGTTGCGTTCGTCAGACCCGTCCCTGCAGTTCATCTTTCGGTCGCAGAGTGCAGTCTGTGGCACGCACTCCCCGCTTTTACACTGTATCTCTCTCAAATAATCGCAATCTGAAATAAAACGCCACTGTCAGACGATTTACGCGGAAATAAGCGTTGTGTTTCGAAATCTCACCTCGTCGTACCGTCACTGTGGTTGGCACGACCAGGAGAGTCGTAGACGTATGACCGGGACCACTTCTGTCTTCGTAGTGCTTCGTGATGTCATTGTCGTGAAGCGAGTCCTTCGGCAGGGGCGCACTTGTGACAACGCTATATGTGACCCTCGTGACAACTTGCAACGTTGGGGCTTCAGTAGTGGACGATGGTCGCGAATGCTTGTCCCCGTTTTTGCTGACCTTGTCGAAGTACCCTCCCTTCTCGTCGTCGACCGGCGTGTACTTGGAGTCGTACGCGTCCGCCTTGGAAGGCAGGTCTCCGGAGATGAACTTGGCGATGCCGCCGGCGTTCTGAGCCCCCGAATAGATCACCGAATGAATCTCGGAGTGGTCCCCCGAGCTCGTGCTGACCGTCTGGTGGACCGAGATGGACGTGATGTTCAGCTCGGGATGCTTGAGATGGTGGCCCTCCCGCGTGCCCCCCAGCGGAATGAAGGCGCTCCCTTTGTTTGTGCCGTGGATTCGGATGGGTTCGCTCGGCGGGTCACCAAACTGCGGAACTCCCGGAGGTCTTCCGGTCGGCCTTCCGGACACTGGCGCTGGTTTCTGCGGTCGGTGCGGTACTGCCTCGGCCTCCGCCGTGAGGTCGATGAATTGTGGCTCCGGCCTTGCGGGTCTCTCCTGAGCACGAGTACGGTTCTTGGGCCGTGCTTGCCCACTCGGGGCGTTCGGAGGTCGAATGTAAAGACCGACCCCGATCTCGAACTCGGTGGTCGAGCTCACTGGACGTGCTGTCGTCGAGGGCTCTTTCCGTCTGTTGTTCTTGTGGACGGAAGGCTGCGAATTGATGAAGAGCCCCGCTCCTACTGAGAGTTCTGTGGTGGAAGACGTCGGCTCGCTGGGTCTGTGCGTTGACTCGTCTAATGGCTCGGGCTTCTCAGTGCGGTGCGGGACCGGTATCTTAGGTTCGGTTTGCGTATTTCCCCGCAGAGGCGACGTCTCCGATTCTATCTGCCAAGCGTGACCCACGCCTTGCTGAGCAGGATTCTTGGGGGCATTATCGGACGTCTTGATCGAAACTCCGGCTCCCACTGTGATCTCGGAGGTTAAGAGCGGCTTGTACGGTGGTCTTGCATTCGTGACCGATGGCTGCGCTTTGACTTGAGGAATTGCAGCCGCGTGTAGGACCTGCGCAGAACCGCTGGGCGGTAGGGCCGGTGCACTTGCATTCGCTCGCGAATCTGATTTCTCGACACTTTCAACCTTTTCGGGCATCGTTGCTACGTCATCCGGCGGGTGTATGTTGATGAACGAAGGTTTCAGTGCCTCCGGGCTTGTCGTCTTATTTTTGGAAGGTGCTGACGGGATTTTATCCGCTTTCACTACCACGCCCGCTCCGACTGTCAGTTCGATTACTTCCGTGCCGGTGCTATTCGTAAACCTATCTTGACTAGAATGTGACTGCGAAGGTGCATCAGAATCCAAATTTGTTACATCCAGTGGTTCTTCACTGTCCGATTCACGAGAAGAACTGGGTGAGGGCAAAACTGTCGCGGGCGTCCTTGAAGAGTTGTCGGCAAAAGTTAAGTTGCGTGTATCATGAAATGACTCATCGGACGACTTGATGGGGGCGTCTGGAAGCGTATCTGAGTCGTCACCCAATTCGGTCGGGCCGTCGTCCCACGTGGTTCCTTCGACGTCCGCGTCTGTGTCCTGCTGCTCCGGAAAGAAAGGCTGCCAGGAATTGTATTCGTCGGGACCCAGGGAGCTGTCGTTTTCGCGTGGGATTCTGTGACCCGTGCTGTCAGCGTCGTTTTGGTTCGACCAATAATCTCTTGTTCCAGCTGGCGGAACGTCGTTTTTGTCGTCTCGCAAATTATTGTTCGGGTCCGGGTTTTTATTTGCGACGTCTTGCTCCAAGTCGCTGTATGGTAGCAAGTTGTTTTCGGACATCTCTGAAACGTAAATAATTTGAATTAATTTCCTTGAAGGGCTCAATGGGTAGTTTTGGTATTTTTTTAAGAATGAAAGTGTTCATTTGAGAATCACAGTATAGTTGCCTCTATTGGTGTACAGTTTTAAGACCTGTAGTTAGTTCGCATACTACGGAACGCAAAAACACAGGGTTGTTATTGAAACAATATGTGCTAAACCAAGTTCAATCCGGTAGATTGCTTAGCGAACAAGATATATACCTAGCCCTTTTTTTTTTAACAACTAGCTTTCGAAAGGCGACGACTTGCATCGTAGAATACAAATCGTAATAATTCCTGTAATTATGACGCTTATTATTCTGCCGACATCCATTTTCATCGAACTACTAACTTAACTGCTCAGAGTAATCGTAGCCTGACGTACAATATGTCCGGTAATATACATATAATGTGATAGACGTACGATCCCTTCTGACCGAGATGGAAGTGAAGTCATTACGGGAGTCCATTTAGATAATGCCAGTGATGAACGCCGTTCACTCGATGGTACACAACTACTGTAACCTCCATTCTTCCGTAGTAAACTATAGAAGAATACATCGCGTTGGCCAAAGACGGATCATGCTATTCGTTTTGAACGGCCAAACTAACGATAAACATAAAATGTTTCCCACCATCCCTACGCAAAAATAAATCGACGAAAGCACGATTGATTCCTAATTAACGTGCAAGTGATTTGGAGCTTTGTGCTATAACGGCTTAATTTAATCAGGACTCCCCATCGGCAATGTCAGATATTCCAGCCGGGTGGGCGTTCTCATTTTATGCCCTTAACATGGGTAGTGCGAGCGCCGAAACGTCAGTGCATGCCAAATATTGGAACACATGGTCAGGATCGCTAGCTGATTTGTTATTCTCTTAACCTTCTTGGTTCTAAAAACTTTCCAAGGGCCTCCATACAATATACCAGCTGCATCCGTATAACTGGTTTATCGCCTGTTTTAGTTGGTTCGCAGCGGCGTATTAGCTCTCCGTACATTACGTTTCATGAGTGATTGTCATGGCCACGCCGCCTTCTTTGAAAAACCTTTTCACTGTAATTAGAGTGCCCAGGAAGGCGTTGAGTATTATTAATTGCGTCTCCCATTTCTCGCCTTCCTGAACGAGTGATGTCCCATTTTACCTGTGAGTTGAATGGCGTTCTCGTCAATCTTGAGGTTGCCGAACGCACCCATGGGTCCTTTCTCAATTTCCTCCTGTAGCGTTTTCTTGAATTTCGTTTCTAGGTTGTTGGCAGTTGGGGTGCGTCGTTTGTCTATCTCAAGTTCAAACAACACGATGAGGCTCCCTTGCCTGCAAGTGTCCAAAGCGTACGAATCACAACCATGACGATACTCAGTTAAAAAATAAATCCAAGAAACCATTACTCTGGAAGCACATCTGGCACACTTTCTGCAAGTGTGTCTCAAGGCTGACGGGGACTTTAGTCCAGAAAAAAAAAAAAAAAAAACGCTGAGCAAGTGCAGCAAGGGGAAACTTGCGGAGGACATTACGGCAGTTCTTTTGAAATATTTCGTTCCCGTATTGACGAATTTGACGCATTCGCAGTAATTCCAGCTACGATGGCGGAGTGCAATATGTCCGTAGTTTTGGAGCAACGGCGCATAAACAAACTTCGGGTAAAAGAAAAAGTTAAACCAGTTGAAAATTTGAGAACATAGCAAGCACATTTGGGGGGCAAGCGACGTCACGGTCAAGAGGGCACAGATGTCGTCAACAGTTTGGGGAAGGATGACCGGCGGTGACAAACGGACCGCACGAATACGTTCTTTCGACTGCAGTCGCGCAGCCTGGTCCTTCCGATGCCAAGGGAATCACAGAGCTGACAAAACAACGGCAGTGGTGCCTGGACGTGCACGGGCAATAGTTTAGAAAACTGATCTAATTTCCTGCTTGTCAATTTTATTTATTTTCTATATATGAATATAAGTCTCGGTCAACCTTGAAAGACCCTCGTAATTCCAGAGGGGCATCGGTCAATGAGATGACTGATTCCTCTTAATATTTTGATGCCGCCTATAATCATCTATAACGGGTGTTTCCCCGAAAATTTAGAAGAAAAGATAAAATTAAAATGGCTAAGCAAAAAAAAAAAAAAAAACCCTCTTTTTGGGAACATATTAGCCACGTCGGACATCGGGGATTGCGAAAAATAATAAAAGATAATTAGCCTAAAAATTAACTCAAATATACTAATCAACCTTTTAATTGGTAAAGCATATAAAATAGCGCAAAAAAGACAAGGACAATAAGTATACAGGACACGTGCTAACTTTCAACTAGCTTTATTCAGGAAAAGTAAACATTTATTTTCCTGAATAAAGCTAGTTAATGAAATAAAAGTAAAACCTTTTAAATAATGAAGATGGATTTATGGTTCCAATTCAAAACCCGTTAAGCACCTCTGAAAACCACTAAATCAACTGATTTTAGGAAGATATGTGCAGGTGCTGCAATTTGCGGCGTAATGAAAAAAAAAAAAAAAAAAAGGAACGTTCAGTTTTGGCGTGTTCAAGTTTAAGGTTTCTTATCGGAGCGGATCTTTGGGCCAAAACTCCTGCCCACCCCGCCCCCCCAGTGACCGAGGCGCGTAATGCACGTGCGCCACTCGAGGCGATGCGGTAACTTCGAGCCTCGGCCACGGGACGGCAGGACCGCTGGCGCAGAGATGCGCTCCGATAGGAAACCGGAATCTAAAAAAACGCGTCCAATTTTGGTGTTTTTTGAAACGCCGTACAGCTGCCGTACTGAATGCTATACCTGCCTCGTATATTTCTGAAATAGCCCTTCCATTGCGTACTGCTGCCGTATTGAATGCTGTACCTGCCACATATATTTCTAAAATAGCCCTTCCAATCTCCAGCGAGTTTGAGACCACTGCTCTAGAGTGTTCGAGTTAGCAATATAGGGTTTTACTAAACACTACCTTCGTTTAAAAGGTTAAAAGGCGCGAACTGAAACAGGACGAAAAAAGACACACGTACGGCGAGGACAAGCGCCAAACCCTTTTAACCCTTTAATCGATATGTACCAACCAGCGCCGACCAAATTTTGTTTCCTTTGTTGCTGATTTTAAGTTTTTGTTTTTTTCTCTTGAAAAAAAAAAAGCAAAAGGCGAATGATTGCTTTTCTAAGAACCTTGAAGTGTCAAAAGTACACGCACTAGAATTACCAGATATGGATCACTTCAGGATAAACACACTTGAGTCATCTATTGTTTAAAATCATTGTTATCTGACGTATTATCTGAAATCGTGAGAAACGCTTTTCTGTCCTCCAGAAATGTTATAACAATCCGCGACAAAGTTAGACGATAGCGCCTGAGCTGCCTGAAACCTAACTAACAGCTCGGGAAGTCGCATTTTTGAATTTTCAGTTGCGCCCGCTGTGCACTAAGCGACGAAATGGCGCTGCCCACAGGAGAATCAGGAAATGGAATGTCCATCCTCTAAGCCAGAGCCGTATACACAGAGAGTCTGGCCATTCATTGGGAAGCATAGGAGTCAAATGCCGTTGGCCGAAAGCGTGCTGGGCCTGTTCCAGGGCGTCTTTAGAAGTTCGAGAGTGGCCAACCAGAAGTAGGAAATAATACCCTGGTGGTGGTCGCGAGAAACGAAATTAATAAGTGCGTCGGAGTACCTCTCGGTGACTGAAAAGAAAGCGCACGTGACGTTTCAATCACGGTCATCCAAAATAATGGTGGAAGAGCGTGACTAGCGAAATGATCGACGTGATCCGTACGCCATGCGCCGAGGGCCTGGAATCTGCCGTCCGAGCGGTCACGCACTGTTCGAGCAAAACAGAGTTCGAGCGGCACATTCGTTTCTTACATCTTTCTGCATGATCGTAATCGAAACATCACGTGTACCCTGATTTCAACCAGGAAGGGTTACTACATTTAACTCTTACGCGCTTATTAAAACCCCATATCTATGATCAAAACTGTTTCTCGCTACCGCCGCTAGGGGATTCTTTTCGGTTTCTGGTTGACCCAGAGAGCATGTCAAGCCCTCTTTCTGCATCTGGTGCCGGCACTGGCTCTGCCCACTCCTCCCATTGACCAAACTCTCTCTATATACACGGCTCTGCTGTAAGCATAGCTCATCTAGTTGCTGTAGCATGCACGCATACATTAATGCATTTGTAAACAAGAAAACGAAATGGCCGCATTCTCGGGTCGCTATTGATAGTATCGCTTCGAACTCGACGGAGCGGACAGAGGGTGAACCATTCGTCGTCCTTGCTTCCCTCGACGCTATTAATGCGGTGTTGAAAAATGGCTACGCGGCAAGGCTATTTGTCCACTAAATCATTTCGCGTCGCTCGCGCCCTGACAAACGACTTTCAGATGGCGATCCTTACCGGAACGCGTATATGGTGACTTTGCTCAGGGAGCTGTTGAGCTGGGGGGACTTGCGATACGCCGCTTGAAGCTGAAAGAGACGATCGGCACCGATAAGGAAATTCACTCGTCTCAATCAGGTCGACACGAACGAAACGCGGACGTTAGTGAGGCCTTGAATCCGCGCTGCTGCGTGGCTTTTCTTCCTCCCTTTCGCGGAAGTCGCGAATGACTTACTCGGGTACGAAAACTGCGTCATCGTGCGGTCAATCACTTTCGTCGTTTGTGGAATATTACGGGAGAATTACGGCTACGTGCTGTTCCCGAGGTGGCAACTGTTCTCGATACACTTCTCAATTACGCTGATTGTGGGTTGAATCACGCTAATTCGTGACAAGGTCGCGGGCACCTGGTTTATCGTGTTTTATGTCCTTCAGAGGACATAAAACAAGATAAACCAAATGCCCGCCTGTTCTTTTTTTTTTTTTTTTTTACTTTGCGTTGCGTTACAAAAGCTTACGTCGGCTTACGTAGAGGGTCACCAGACATCTGTGGTTTTAATGAAGCGTGACAGCCAGTGCAAGGAGTACACTAGCACGCGACATTCGTCAAACTCGTGTTCCAGTGACTTAAGTGTAACGTAAGAAAACACAAGGAAACGCCCATGTGTGAACGGGCTTTGAGTCGTAATTGTGCACACGTAGCGCGCAAATTTATTATAACATTTTCGTTCACTGCATATGCGCTAATAGATACTTTTAGTAGGTACTGTCGAAACCCGTTATAGCAAAGTTGGTTATAACGAAATAGCGGCTTGAGCGAAGCGATCACGATTTCCCATTTCATTTTGCACTTCGTTATAACCGAAGTCGGTTATAACGAAATAGCGGATATAGCGAAGTTATTTCAGATTCCCGATGACTTCGTTATAACCGGTCTCGACAGTACTTCCAATGGTTTCGGTAACAATACTTGCATTGTATTAGGAAGTTTTAGTAGACCGTTCTGATAACTGGCGATGCCCGATACCTGGCCGACGCCTTTGCGGATGCATAATAGAGTTTTAGTAGATTGTTCAGATACCTCGATAACGATACCGGATGACAATAGGGAGCTTTCGTAAACCGCTTTCCTCCCTCCACTAATGTTATCCGCAACGAAGAGACAGTATACTGTGCTTGCGCGCCTCTAGCCTTGACTGAAGAAACCTGGATCTTGTAGCGGATTGTGGCGAGCGCTGCGGGACGGCGGAAACGATCTACGAAAACTCCCTAATAGATTGTTTTTGGTAGATCGTTGGGATGACTCCGACAACGATACCCGATTCTTCGCCGCCGCCTTTGCGCGTATCTTTATCGAGGCGGGTATCGGAGGAATCGGAACGATGTACGATGTACGGCCGCAAAGGCGTCGGCGGAGTATCGGGTATCGTTATCAGATCTATCGGAATGATCTACTAAAACTCATTATTGTATCGTTGTCCGGTATCGTTATCGGAGGTATGGGAACGATCTGCTAAAACTCCCTAACAGGGACTTTTAGTAGATCGCTCCGATGTTTCCAATAACAATACCCGATACTCCGCCGTCGCCTTTCCGCATGCAACGTATCCTTATCGAGAATCGTTATGGGAGGTATCGAAACCATCTACTACGACTCTTATCGAGCACCGTTATCGGACATCGTTATTGTAAAAAAAAAAAGATGGACTAAAACTTTGATATGGACGCAAACCTTTCTTCTGTGGCTGCCAGAAAGATCAGGACGAATGTTCAGTTTAGCGAGTTAGGCCAACTTTAATGTCGAACATAGTACCTTCAAATATTCTCCAGCTCGGCGAATCGTTGCAGCAGGGGTCTACCATATAGCCTAAAATAAGGCTCTGTCATTGAAACCTAATTTTTCGTTGCTAAAGCCCTTGTGATCTTTCTATAGGAAACCGCTTGGTATACTCTCATGTAATAGCGTTCGAACAAAAAATCAGAATGAAAGGAACTATTTAAGCAATTATGGCTTTTTTTCATTATTATTAGAAGTGCTTAAGTTGTCAAGCCGAAAGTAAAATCAACTTCACAATGAGCTCACCAACACGCTACTTTATCATACGCTGCCGTACCAAGGGCATACCAAGGGAGAGAACAGCTAAAGACAACGCACACAGCTCGATTAATCAGTTTCGTAACCTAGATTGCAGGTGTATATATACGAGTAACTTTGACCTCACCATGTTGGCATACTTGGCTGACTTGTCCCTAAATTCCTTGGAAGTCGAGTTGAGGAGGCTGGGGTCCCAGACGTCTCCTTCCACTACCTTGACAACGCCTAGGAGACGAACAGCTGCGTGGGGCCGGGTGCCGAAGCGACAAAGACAGACGGAAAAAGAAAAGGAATCAATTTGAATCCCCCCCTTGGCCGAGATCCTTCAGTGCAATCCACAGGAAGAACCGTTCTGCGCCGGCTCGAGTCAGCAATGGCCCAGATACTTACATGGGTGAATGTGCTGGCTGGTGATGGCTGTCAAGGAAAGGAAACGACGATGTTAGAGTCTATCGACACGCTTTTTCAGAGACGAGCGTGACACTGGCGTGGGTGGGAACATAGAATTAAACGCGGGAGGCGCCGTCTCCTGTCAGGCGTCTTTGCCCTTTTGTGTAATGGCTTCATCCGATAATTCATGTGGCGTAATAAAGCGTCCTTGTCCTCTTTGCCAGCGATGAGATGACGTTCTCTCGGCACGCGTGCGGCGTAAAGCGATTTTTGTGGCGCTTATTTTGTCTCTCCGAGCTGCACCCTCGACGGCGGGGTGGCAAGATGCCCTTATCTGGTTAATTTAATAACGACACTTTAGGAGGAACCGTGCTATTTGACAACGAACTTTTAATTAAAGTGAGTAGGAGGGTCCAGATGAGAAAGAGGGTAGTAAGTCGAGCCAATCCGCGCGGATTTTTTCTTAGAATAGCACGCAAACGTTGAGGACCTGTCTGGGGTCTAGTGCACATCTTTTGTCGTTGTTCTCATCTTTTTTATTTTTTTTTTGCGACTTTGAACCAGTATTTGTTACCGACAGTCTAATAAACGCAAGGCTTGGCTTATTCTGTTTATGCTTTTCTTTGTGATCGGTTTTTGGCCGCTCTTATCTTTGAATTCCGAAATGTCATTGGCTGAGGAGCGTTCACAAGAGACACCAGACTCGCAACACCCTGAATTTCTTAAGCTGTCAGTGGTTGTGGATCGAGACACGTTGTTTCCCAAACCTCATCTTGCATTTTTCCAGCCTTTATCGATTCCTTAAGGGTTTTTTCTGCTTCAATTGTTTATTACTTAACTGGTTGTTACTTAACTGTTAATGTTTTCACGATTGCGTGTCCATGCGAACAATTCGTATGTCTTTATCACCAATAAGATCGCCAACCAAAAAAAATAGGGTGAAGCTGCGGGTCCACTCTTTCGATTGTCCAACGATATCGCGGCTTTCGTCGGCAAGAACAATCGGGAACCAATCATGAAGTCATAAATCGCCATACCCCCGTCGTTATTTTCTTTTTTAATCTGTCAATGGTTGAAAGTTAGGTTACCAAATTATGAACCGCATTTTCTTATAAGCGGTATTCACGGAACGACATACTGTTTGTCGTTATTCTCAGCGCATGCTCGGAACTAGCTCCCATTTCTCTTGTGCCAAGAACAAATATCTCAATTGGGAAAAAGGCGCGACCATGCACATTCAACGTGCGTTCCATCCAATCGGAACTGTGGTTGTTGACAGGCGATAAACGGGAGCCGTAATCACCGAGAGTTTCAGAAACGCCGGCCGCCGCTTATGACGCAAACGCTTTTCGATTCGCGATTCGTTTCTTTCGGAGTCCTTGTCAGTTAACGGTACACGTTTTATTGACTACAGAGTGGTAATAAAGGCTGTTTTCCTGCTTTTACTCGAATGGATCTGAATTATTTCGGCGGATCATGTCATGTCACTCGGCAAGACAGACGGAGCAACGCTGGACGCGGGTATACGGAGAGAAAGTTCGTCTGCTTGTTGCACATGGGTTGCGATGATGTCAAAACGACAAGCTCTTATTGGCTGATTGAAAAAAAATTGTCGGTAGACCTCAAGGCCTCTAGAATCGAGGTCTACCCACTATCTTTCCAATCAGAGCCAATCGGAACTTGGCGTTGTTCTGACGTCACAGCAACCCCTGCTCAAGAAGCAGACGACTTGCTCTCCGCATAGGCTTTCGAATGCCAAGGTACAGAACCTTTACCCTGGAGTTAGATCGGGTAAATTTTTGAACACGGCCAAAACGATCGGGACGCTCTACGCCAGACTTTTTTCTTTCTTTTTTTTTTTAAGCTAGCAGTGTTTATAGTTCTCAGCGTGTGCTGGGAAGATGAGTGACCAACAATATGGCTTCCCGTGAAAAACCTCTATTCAGTTTTCAGACGCAATGACTCAAATCAACAGCGTGAGGCTTACGGCATCCCCTGACCGGTGGCGTCGGAACAGGGGAGAGAGGGGGAGGGGAGCGATCGCCCCCCGCCCCCCCCCCCCCCCCCCTTCTCTTTGGCATTTATAAAAATTAAATGTAAACAATACGAGAAAGGGACAAGGAAATTCCCCCCTCCTCGCCAAATCTCCCGAATAGTTTCGACGCCACTTCCCCCGAGTCTCTTCTCGAAGCACTGTTCGCGGACCGGCCAAAGACGTCGATCCCGTGACCCCGAACGGCACTCACCGCTGAGGTAGGCGCATAGCGCCACGAGGCTGCCGAAGAGGACGGCCGACGCCAGGGCCGCGAGCAGGACGCAGCGCCAAGGGCAGCAGCGCGCCGGAGCCCTGCCCCAGGAGCGGCTCCGACTCCGGGCCGAGAGCCCGCGCCTGCACGCGCTGCTCCGCTCGTCGTCCCAGACTAGGTACGGGGCCTTGCGGTGGAACGAGTAGGGTAGGTAGTCGTCCACGGAGGCGACGCCCCCGACCACGGCGACGCCGGAGGTCGCGATGCCGCTCGGGCTGCCGGCGGCCCCTACGGGGACGACGCCTGGGACACCCGGGGACACGGCGGCGCCGCCGACCTCATCGCCGCACGTTGGGAACGGCGTGAAGTCGGCCGGTTTCTGGGGGGCAAGAGAGAAGCAAAGAAAAGCATCAGGCACCCGGGCCTCTGAAATGATGCCCGATCATTCGCCCAATACCCGCGGACAACTGTTGGGGCATTTCAGAAGTGAAGAGTACGCGTGCACAGGCGTTGATGGGCGCTCAAGATATGCATGCGCGTGTGGTCCGGTATCTTTGAATGCCACAGAAAGTTGTCCCTGAGTGTATGTACTGGAAACCCACCGGCTCTACTGGCTGACAGAAACAGCGTATGCGATTACAGAAGCAGATGACACTTCGTCACACGTTTGTATGCCGGACGACTTGCAGATATGTCGTTGCTAAACAGAACGTGATACTCGGCTCCTCGTGAACCGACACAGGAGAGAGCTGCCTGCTGACGGTATCTGCTGAAGACTTCGAGCGAAGCGAAAATCCTTGCAATTCCCGCAGTTTTTTCCGATACGTCCATCACAATATTTAAGAAAAAAAAAAAAAAAAAAAGAGAACGAATAGTGAGGGAATTGACGTAATGCGTTAATAGTATATTCGCACATTGATTTTTCTAAAAATAACCATGGTACCATAAAATGCTAAGATCGGCGCAGTTACCGGCAGTTGCGTGCATGGGCCCATAATCTGAGCTGTTTGGTTCCGAATGCATTAGTTCCACTACTCCGACTTTCTTAGCCTGGCATCCTGTGGGCTAAAATGAAAGGTTAATTGGTGACACGGAACACGGGAGTCTCCTGTATTTCAGTCTGCCACCCTCCCCCAGTCTTGACAGTCGTCCTCGTGCTATCGAAAGAAAACATACGGTATCGCACGAATTCGCCTAGACCTCGCCATTAAAGTTTCGATAGCGTTCTCGCACCATGGTCAGGCTGCTCTCCATGTAGCCCAAGTCCTCCATATCACATTTGAAAAGACAGTATTCTAAACTGCAGACTGCGACAGCCTATTGTCTGCTAGCTGCGAGAAACTTCGATCTAGAGATAAAAACCGCTAAAGATATTTGTCTTCACACGCGTTACCTTATGAGTTGTGTCAGATCACACCATTCTCATTGGCCCAAGATCGCAGACTTCTGATTACATTGTTACGAACGTTACGCTCGATTGGCTATCTCCATCCGGCTATTTGGAATGCAAGTGTATGCACAAAGATTAAATTTAATCACTTCCAGGCGACAGTGTACGCTGTTACGTAAGCTTTAGGTAAATAGGTGTCCGTGTATACATCATGCTGCCGCGCCACAGCGCGGACGCTTATGCAAAAACCCTCATTCGGTTGAGCGGTTGCCGTAATAGACGCGGCGTCTTAAACCACCACACGCTTTGCATGCGAGATGGGACGACCAACGCAACGACTGCTTTCTTTATCTCCTCTCCTCGCAAATTGGTGGTCTATCAGCCGTGCGGATGCGAAAGCGGAAAACGAAATCCCAACGTGTCGCCACTCGCCATACGATACGTTTCCCTCTCAACAGAGGCCGGGGCTTCCTTTTTCTGGTTGATGGCGAAGAGCGATTGCACGGTGTAAGTGGAATTGATGCGTATCTCTTCCATTCTTCCGGCCGCGGCGTTGAATGGAGAACGCCCTTTCCTTGCCCGTTCAGTCGAGAAGTGCATCATTTGAAGTCACTCCCAAGTTCTCCTTGGCGTATCGAGCAACCAGGTTACGGTAGACTAAGCACATTATCGGGAGACTTTTTTTTCTGTTTTTCTTTCAGGAGCTCTCAGACTGACAGGCCAAAACCTCCTGCCGGTCATAGAGACTGACTATTGCAGACTGAGCGAGAATGGTCTAGTTTTTTATAGGCATTTTCACGGATTTTATTCCTCCTATAAAATTCCGCCACGTCGATGAAACTTATCCGTAGGCTTGTAGCTATACATAAACCATAACTATGATGGATCTACGCTGATCAACTTGCGAATAACGGCCCCAGTGAATTAACCGCCATATGTGAATTGGGGAAAGCCCTTTACTGGTTCGCATGTATGGATCCCCTGCTTTTACTCGGGTCTTGAGCAGAAATACTGATTTTTTTTTCTTGTAGTTTCAAAAGTCACATCCGCTCCCCCTGCAGTGTCCCTGAGCGAAGAATCGTAAATTTCTTATGAACGTAGTCTAGGTTTTGTGAAGAAGGCTGAGATTTTAGACTAGTTACTGTTTGATAAACTTAGGTAGCATTCTATCACGAGTGCCCTGGTTACGTAGCATTTTTTTTTTTA